TTGGTGGTGACTTTGTCTTCTGACATGGTCTGGTGTTGGTGGTAACTTTGTCTTCTGACATGGTCTGGTGTTGGTGGTGACTTTGTCTGGTGTTGGTGGTAACTTTGTCTGACATGGTCTGGTGTTGGTGGTAACTTTGTCTACTGACATGGTCTGGTGTTGGTGGTAACTTTGTCTTCTGACATGGTCTGGTATTGGTGGTAACTTTGTCTACTGACATGGTCTGGTATTGGTGGTGACTTTGTCTACTGACATGGTCTGGTGTTGGTGGTGACTTTGTCTTCTGACAAGGTCTGGTGTTGGTGGTGACTTTGTCTTCTGACAAGGTCTGGTGTTGGTGGTGACTTTGTCTTCTGACAAGGTCTGGTGTTGGTGGTGACTTTGTCTACTGACATGGTCTGGTGTTGGTGGTAACTTTGTCTACTGACAAGGTCTGGTGTTGGTGGTAACTGGTGTCTGGTGTTGGTGGTAACTTTGTCTACTGACATGGTCTGGTGTTGGTGGTAACTTTGTCTACTGACAAGGTCTGGTGTTGGTGGTAACTTTGTCTACTGACATGGTCTGGTGTTGGTGGTAACTTTGTCTACTGACATGGTCTGGTGTTGACGGTAACTTTGTCTTCTGACATGATCTGGTGTTGGTGGTGACTTTGTCTTCTGACATGGCCTTATTTTAGTTATTACATGGTGTGTTTGATATTGCCTTGAATTGGTTGTATCTTTGCCTGTAGGATAGAGTCTGGTGGTAGTAATGTACTATCAATTCATTGAAAGTTTTCTGGAAACCCTGTGATAACTGAAATCAAGAAATTAAAAAAAGAAAAAGTTCACAAATATTTTACTTTTTTACCATTATAATAATGGCAAAATGGTTTTTCTATGTAATTTCTTCAACACACAAATTAACAGACAATTTTCATATGGTCCAAGACATTTACTACCTTAAACCCGACAGTTAGGTTCATTTTCATATTAGCCTCAATTTTAATTGAGTCTTAGAAAATATTTTTAAAATGATTGTTTTCGATATCAGTTTACTTATGAAAAATTTCTTTGGTGTGCAGAGACACTGTGAATGAAGATTATAAAGATTTATTAAGTTAATATCTCGGGTTAGTATTTAGTGTTTTAGGGTAAGGTTGTTCATGTATGAGTGATACATTTAAAGTTGTTCTACAATATACAGACAGTGAACGCTGGATTTATGTGTTCATTTGTTGTGTTCCAGGTTATGAATTCCATCCATGCAATGCTATGGGAGCAGAAGGTCCTACTCAAGTTAAGTGTGACGAGTCTTATAGATCAACACCAGTCAAGGTCGAAGTTATCGCTGAAGGTCATCTGAAGGGTATTCAGATTTGGACAGTACCGGAGGATGGTACATACCTGTAAGTAGTTTTTGATGTAAATTGTCTACTGTGAATTTTATAACAATGGTGTGTTGCTAAGGGAAACCACAGCAAGCTAAACACAGGAATTATGACAAATAATAACAAATTGATATAATGTGATTATCTTGCAAATTTTGTCAATAAAGATTGGAAGATGTCCGTAACCATGCAGAGCTAAAATATTGATAAAGATCTACAACTTACAAAACTTAATTGGTTAAAACAACCTACAGTCAATATCAAGTACAAGCTCTACAAAATTCAATAAAATCTATAACAGCAATGAAGATGGAGGATGAACATGCAATAAATGTAATCAAGTATTCGTGAACTTTATGTTAGCAAGTGAAATGTCTGGAGGAAAATGTATCTGAAATAAAAACATTGAAGAGAGATGTAAGTACTGTGGACATTAGGTAGATCCAGGATAAACTGTACATCAGTTAATAATCTTGTCTAATAACTAATCATCACAGATTAACTATGATGTAATCAGTTTTGATTTATGGATGACAAGATCAAACGATTAGGGAAGTTTAAGAAAGAACCAACTTTGGGAGGAAGACAAAAGAAAAAACAACTATGGGAGGAAGTCAAAGGGATAACAACTATGGGAGGAAGCTAAAGGGAAGGCAACTGTGGAAGGAAGCAAAAGGGAAACCAACTATGGGAGGAAGCTAAAGGGAAGACAACTATGAGAGGAAGCCAAAAGTGAAAACAACTTTGGGAGGAAGCTAAAGGGAAGACAATTATGAGAGGAAGCTAAAGGGAAGACAACTGTGGGAGGAAGCCAACGGGAAGACAACTATGAGAGGAAGCTAAAGGGAAGACAACTGTGGGAGGAAGCCAAAGGGAAGACAACTATGAGAGGAAGACAAAGGTAAAACAACTATGAAAGGAAGACAAAGGGAAAACAACTATGGGAGGAAGACAAAGAGAAAACAATTACTTGAGGGAGCCAAAGTGAAAACAACTATAGGAGGAAGCCAAAGGGAAAACAACTATTGGAGGAAGCCAAAGAGAAAACAACTATTGGAGGAAGAAAATACCTATGTGTATCTGTACAATATGTCAGTGTTCACAGAAGCAGTTAATATTACGGACAATATTTCCGTGCTTCTTAATATTTCATGATAAGATTTTCAAGATCATGTCAATGACTCGTGAAAAAACAAAAAATATCATCCCCGCGATATGAGATATGCTATATGAGTTGTACATAAAAGATGATTTCCTATTTCAACATATAAACTAGCTAGCTGGATGGTGAGGCACTGACAATTGACAGTTCTTATCAGTGTTGGTATCAAAACACAATGGATTAATCAACAAACTGAAACCATATCACTTCTGAGGACAATCAGCTCCATGGTTATGGTCATTCTTAACAGGAAATAGTCCAAAGGAGAGAAATTCAGCGTGGACTAGTGTATGAAACATCAGGAAAATTCCAAGGATTTGCAAGGTTGTAAGATAATTTGGAAAATACAACGATATTTCTAAAGAACTACTGATGGGTTGCCTTGTTACATTGTGAACATAGACCTGCTGAATTTTGAACTTCCATTTTGTTATTCTCAAGTTTGCTGCTGCTGTTTCTGAAGACTTAACTACAGGATCATCTTGAAACCACAGGAATTGATTCCTTATGGTAATCTTAGTAACGCTCGCCAAAATTTCAGCGTCATCTCCAACTATTTTTATTCCGAAATGATGCTTGAGATGACAGTCAGTAGCTAATTTGGATTTTGAACAGAGTTTTTTTAATGTTTGTTCACACTTGTTTTAAAAACATTTTTTTCTAATTGTGAGGCTTTTCAATCAACCACAGCGAAAGAACTTTTTTCAACATGGAGCCACTAGATTCCTCAACTATTGGGATGGTTGTAACTCCAGGCTATATTTGAGAGAAAAGAAAAAAAATCAGTCTTCCATAGGACATTTATCAAAATGGTTGATGATTTAAAGTCAACTCATTTCATGAAAGATTAATGGACAAGAGACAGAAAAATTAATTTCCCAATAAATAGTACATAAGTTGATGAAAACATATTTGTGACCTCCGGCCACCATGACAGAGTGGTTAAGGCATCTGATCATCTTTTTAACTAGCCCTGTACCCTTGGGTTGTGTGTTTGTTGCCCACTTTGGGCAGTCACCAGATACTGTCTGCAGGTTGTTGGTTATTCTGTAGGAAGTTTGGCTTTCTTCCACCACCCTAACCTGGCACGTCAACAATGAATTAAATTTGTGGCCTCAGTATATGATATGTATATATTTCATCTTGGTAAGGTTTGTTATCGATGGGAATCGGTTCACTATCTTAATCTATAATCACATACACAGGATTCATTATACGAGGTTATCTGACATGTCCCCTTTCAATGTTAAGCATTATTGGCGTGGGGAGCAACAATCCCTGTCTGATTCATTGGTGATGATTACGTACTTGTGTTGTAAAATACCTTACAGTCATTTTATCACTTATGTTGGGTATTATGTTGAGTTCATCAGCAAATTCCTACAGACATCAACAGACCTACAAAAACCTTAGCTCCACCACACTAGTGGTCAAACGACTATTGACTTTTAATCAAATCCTCCAGCCTGATGGACAACATGTTATTAATTCACACCCCTCACAATAAAACAGTAGTGGTAATAAATGATGTGTTAGTTTACAGTCGACTTCACAGCGGCTCTGGACAGTCTTGAATGACGTTAGAAGGAGCTTGATGTCTAATAGAGTGCATTACGTTCGAGAACATATTATCCGTGATCCACTTAGGGGTGATACGTCTATTCTGTGGTGACTGATGAGACAGCTAACTCAAATTAAAAATTCAGTGTTATGGTCATTAAGAACTTATTACACTGATTTTTTGAAAGGTTTACGTGTGTTAAAATTTATATACAAAATAAACATTGTTCATTTTGTGGCGTATAACACAGGATGATTCAGATATAACTTCAAAAGTAAAGAATTAGGTCATAAAATTATTTATCCTTTAATAATCACATTTCATTGTATATCTTTCCCCCTTACATTGGAATGGAGTGGCAATAAACAGCTAAGTGGATCAGGTCTCTAAGCATCTTTATCCTTAGCCCTCCACCTCTGGGTCGTGGGTTCGAGTCCTGTGGGGCAGTTGTAAAGTACTTGGAACTATGACTTTCCTCAACCAGCCAAACTTGGCACATCCTTTAACGACCCTGGCTGTTAATAGGATGTAAAGTAACAGTTGACCCGTTACATTGGAGAGTCACAGTAACTACAAAAAGGAAATCTTTAACCATCAGTTTAGTGTGATGAAAAGGGGAGATAACCAACATACAGTGCATATGAAATTTGTGTAGATAGAATTCTTAGAATGAAATACTTTATATTTTGAGTATGTTTCACCCATTAGATAACATGTAATTATCAAAATGCCTTAGCTTATCTTTATGAAAAAGTACAATTCTAAATTTGTGATAAAAATGATATCTCTTATAACTGACTTCTTGATGTTTAATATATCTATGTTTCTTTAAGGAAAACGTTATCAGATTCCAATCTTATGTCTTGTGCAAGATATTGGAGCTCTCATTCCACAACTTTGTTAGAGTTTCAGTAATGGGGCTGATGATATTTTACATTTATGTTCATTCCATGTCTTGTGAGACAATGAGGCTGACATCTCATAGCTTTGTCATTGTCTTGTGTGAGACAATGAGGGTGACATCTCATAGCTTTGTCATTGTCTCGTGTGAGACAATGAGGGTGACATCTCATAGCTTTGTCATTGTCTTGTGTGAGACAATGAGGCTGGCATCTCATAGCTTTGTCATTGTCTTGTGTGAGACAATGAGGCTGGCATCTCATAGCTTTGTCATTGTCTTGTGTGAGACAATGAGGGTGACATCTCATAGCTTTGTCATTGTCTTGTGTGAGACAATGAGGCTGACATCTCATAGCTTTGTCATTGTCTTGTGTGAGACAATGAGGCTGGCATCTCATAGCTTTGTCATTGTCTTGTGTGAGACAATGGGGCTGGCATCTCATAGCTTTGTCATTGTCTTGTGTGAGACAATGAGGCTGGCATCTCATAGCTTTGTCATTGTCTTGTGTGAGACAATGGGGCTGGCATCTCATAGCTTTGTCATTGTCTTGTGTGAGACAATGGGGCTGGCATCTCATAGCTTTGTCATTGTCTCGTGTGAGACAATGGGGCTGGCATCTCATAGCTTTGTCATTGTCTTGTGTGAGACAATGGGGCTGGCATCTCATAGCTTTGTCATTGTCTCGTGTGAGACAATGGGGCTGGCATCTCATAGCTTTGTCATTGTCTTGTGTGAGACAATGAGGCTGACATCTCATAGCTTTGTCATTGTCTTGTGTGAGACAATGAGGCTGACATCTCATAGCTTTGTCATTGTCTTGTGTGAGACAATGAGGCTGACATCTCATAGCTTTGTCATTGTCTTGTGTGAGACAATGGGGCTGGCATCTCATAGCTTTGTCATTGTCTTGTGTGAGACAATGAGGCTGACATCTCATAGCTTTGTCATTGTCTTGTGTGAGACAATGAAGCTGACATCTCATAGCTTTGTCATTGTCTTGTGTGACACAATGAGGCTGGCATCTCATAGCTTTGTCATTTTCTTGTGTGAGACAATGAGGCTGGCATCTCATAGCTTTGTCATTGTCTTGTGTGAGACAATGAGGCTGATATCTCATAGCTTTGTCATTGTCTTGTGTGAGACAATGAAGCTGACATTTCATAGCTTTGTCATTGTCTTGTGTGAGACAATGAGGCTGACATCTCAGCTTTGTCATTGTCTTGTGTGAGACAATGTGGCTGACATCTCATAGCTTTGTCATTGTCTTGTGTGAGACAATGAGGCTGACATCTCATAGATTTGTCATTGTCTTGTGTGAGACAATGAGGCTGACATCTCATAGCTTTGTCATTGTCTTGTGTGAGACAATGAGGCTGACATCTCATAGCTTTGTCATTGTCTTGTGTGAGACAATGAGGCTGGCATCTCATAGCTTTGTCATTGTCTTGTGTGAGACAATGAGGTTGATATCTCATAGCTTTGTCATTGTCTTGTGTGAGACAATGAAGCTGACATTTCATAGCTTTGTCATTGTCTTGTGTGAGACAATGAGGCTGATATCTCATAGCTTTGTCATTGTCTTGTGTGAGACAATGAGGCTGACATCTCATAGCTTTGTCATTGTCTTGTGTGACACAATGGGGCTAACATTCCATACCTTTGTCATTGTCTTGTGTGAGACAATGGGGCTGACTTCTCACACCTTTGTCATTATTTTGTATAAACAATAGGGCTGACATTCCACATCATTGTCAGAGCCTTGTGTGATAAATAAGGTAAGCGTACCTAGCATTCGCTGATGTACTCTTATTTTCCATTTTTTTTCTAGGTGTTAAGCATATTTTTTATTGTTGAAACATCAAGTCTTCCCCTGCTTTGTTTATATCATCTGTTAAAATATCCATTGTTTCTATTTAAAGTCGGTTCTTGTAAATGAGGAAACATAACATCACGATAATTAAGTATTGATAGATATATATCTGTTGGAGATAGTACCAGGCAGGGACACACAATATATAGGGATAAGAAACAGTAAGGCCCAGTGGTGACTTTTGTTACCTTTTTGTGTTTCTTCACCAAGCAATGAAGTCATCACAGTCCCAGTTACTAATGTTATCTAATTTAACTGTGTCTTTACGCTGTAATTAGTATGGACTAAGAAAGAACTGACCAGAGCCGTTTTGTCCGCCATTGAGATGTGAACCCCATAAGTGATTCTCATGTTTGTAATGAAAACAATACTAATCAGATAAAATATCAGAAAACTTACTGAAGTCACTCAGCTTTGAAATGGTAACTGTTTAAAAAGATAATTTTCTTTATAATTTTTGTTGAAAGTGATATATATGGTCTCCTCGGTGACACTAGCCCAAGCTAACCTTTATCTTTGCTATTACTTTTGCCTCCCTCCGCGTCTATAAAACGTATTTGACCTACATTCATTTCCGGGGTTATACTCGTCCAGTGACCACGTTGATCAATTAGCCACCTTTGTTTCACACTCCCACTATTCTTACACTACGAAAACATACCAGGTATTATAGCCAGAGTAGTTTATACCTTTAATTATGGTAACCTGGCCACCCGTTAATGTGCTTGTGTATACACAGATGTACACGCATGACTGCGTCGATGAACATCGGCAGACGACTTTCTGGGTTAATGTATTCATACAAAACTCAACTGTTTTTTTTATGATGCAACATTCTTACAAACACCGGCACAATACAAAACAAGACTGTTTTTTTATTCATATGATGCAACAAACACGACAGAAATTCTATGAGAAGTCTTTCAATCATCGACAGAATAACAGTTCAGTTTGCTCAGTTCATTCTCCCGATCGGTTCTTCCGACCGGGACAGGTCGGCTGAGGTCAAAAATGGGGGGTGGGCTTAATACCGATATATATATATATATATATATATATAATGTTATTTCAGTTGTAAAGCTTAAACCTGCATTTTAATTTACAAATATCAAAAGTTACTTGATATCATTTGCTACAAAAGCTAACACAATCAATTTGAAATTCAAAAGGCTTTCTTCTGTTTATTTTGAAAAGAAATTTATTTACTTTTGCAATAAGAATAAATATCTTCCTGATCGGATAACTAAGCATTAAAGTCAAATCTATCTACAGATATTGATAATAAAAAAACCCAGTCCCCTAACACATATCATAAACGAAACTACCGATCTGTCTCTCAGTTCAGGCACCAGTAGAGATAATGGGAAATCTCCATAGATGTTGTTTGTCAGATATAATAATTGGTTTGTTTGTGTGTATCCACCTGATTTGAAGAACTTTTCCTCAACTTATTAACATTAGAAAACATCTTGCTCTGTGCAGTTTCCAACAGATTGACCATGTATTTATTGAAATACATGTAATCCTTTCTATTCGTGCCTCCATTAGGAGCCAAACTGGAACAACAGTCGCAATATAACACAACAATGTTATATCGTCCGAGGTGTGGGAGCAAGTATTGAGAAAGTCTGTTCTAATATGATGAAAAACAAACCCTGAACAATCTTGTAGCTATTGTAATAGCTTTGTAATAACAGATTCAGTATTTTCCTTGCTAGTTGAACTTCCAATTTCCAATATTTGTCTTTTTCATATGGAAGGAAAATGAGTATTAACTAAATAATTGCAAAACAATTTGTCGCACTAAATGGCATAGAGATAAACCTATATGTTCGATATAACATTGAATGACAGGATGCTTGTAAAATTGATGTGATGAAAAAAGTATCTTTGTAAAATTGATGTGGTGAAAATGGTGTAATGAAGTCATTGTTTTTTCTATTGATTTCTTGACATGGATGATAGTAGTGTGACAAAAACAGGAATTTCTTGAGATGGATGACAGTAATGTGACAAACACAGGGATTTCTTGAAAACATCTGAGAAGCATGACAAAAACAGGAATTTCTTTAATGAAATCATTGTTTTTTCTATTGATTTCTTGAGATGGATGATAGTAGTGTGACAAAAACAGGAATTTCTTGAAATGGATGATAGTAGTGTGACAAAAACAGGAATTTCTTGAAATGGATGATAGTAGCGTGACAAAAACAGGAATTTCTTGACATGGATGATAGTAGTGTGACAAAAACAGGAATTTCTTGAGATGGATGACAGTAATGTGACAAACACAGGAATTTCTTGAAATCATCTGAGAAGCATGACAAAAACAGGAATTTCTTGAAATGGATGATAGTAGCGTGACAAAAACAGGAATTTCTTGAAATGGATGATAGTAGCGTGACAAAAACAGGAATTTCTTGAAATGGATGATAGTAGCGTGACAAAAACAGGAATTTCTTGAAATGGATGATAGTAGCGTGACAAAAACAGGAATTTCTTGAAATGGATGATAGTAGCGTGACAAAAACAGGAATTTCTTGAAATGGATGATAGTAGCGGGACAAAAACAGGAATTTCTTGAAATGGATGATAGTAGCGGGACAAAAACAGGAATTTCTTGACATGGATGATAGTAGCGTGACAAAAACAGGAATTTCTTGAGATGGATGACAGTAATGTGACAAACACAGGAATTTCTTGAAATCATCTGAGAAGCATGACAAAAACAGGAATTTCTTTAATGAAATCATTGTTTTTTCTATTGATTTCTTGAGATGGATGATAGTAGTGTGACAAAAACAGGAATTTCTTGAAATGGATGATAGTAGCGTGACAAAAACAGGAATTTCTTGAAATGGATGATAGTAGTGTGACAAAAACAGGAATTTCTTGAAATGGATGATAGTAGTGTGACAAAAACAGGAATTTCTTGAAATGGATTCTAGTAGCGTGACAAAAACAGGAATTTCTTGAAATGGATGATAGTAGTGTGACAAAAACAGGAATTTCTTGAAATGGATGATAGTAGCGTGACAAAAACAGGAATTTCTTGAAATGGATGATAGTAGCGTGACAAAAACAGGAATTTCTTGAAATGGATGATAGTAGCGTGACAAAAACAGGAATTTCTTGAAATGGATGATAGTAGCGTGACAAAAACAGGAATTTCTTGAAATGGATGTTAGTAGCGTGACAAAAACAGGAATTTCTTGAAATGGATGATAGTAGCGTGACAAAAACAGGAATTTCTTGAAATGGATGATAGTAGCGTGACAAAAACAGGAATTTCTTGAGATGGATGATAGTAGCGTGACAGAAACAGGAATTTCTTGAGATGGATGATAGTAGCGTGACAGAAACAGGAATTTCTTGAGATGGATGATAGTAGCGTGACAGAAACAGGAATTTCTTGAAATGGATGATAGTAGCGTGACAGAAACAGGAATTTCTTGAAATGGATGATAGTAGCGTGACAGAAACAGGAATTTCTTGAAATGGATGATAGTAGCGTGACAAAAACAGGAATTTCTTGAAATGGATGATAGTAGCGTGACAAAAACAGGAATTTCTTGAAATGGATGATAGTAGCGTGACAAAAACAGGAATTTCTTGAAATGGATGATAGTAGCGTGACAAAAACAGGAATTTCTTGAGATGGATGATAGTAGCGTGACAAAAACAGGAATTTCTTGAAATGGATGATAGTAGCGTGACAAAAACAGGAATTTCTTTAATGAAGTCATTGTTTTTTCTACTGATTTAAACTGAATTTAACCTTGCCCATAACTACTGCATCATAAGAGGTAGGGCTTTCATATTTGGCATGTGTGTTCTGTGACCTTTCTGGTGGTATGAAAATTTTTGACTCTTTGACCTTGACTGTGACCTTTGACCTACATTTAAAAAAATTTAACATTGGCCTTAACTATTGCATATTGAAGACAGACGTATATCACAAAGTGTGCATGCAATTAGCACAGAAGAGTTTTAATGTTCCACTTCAGAATTTTGTTGCTGGGGGCGCAGTGTTTCATTAACACGTCTTGTTTAAATTTTATTTGCTTCCCTGATTCATATGCAAATAAGAAGTAGGGTGGAACCAGATTCAGCAATTTATCAGAAGAGTTTTGACTGGTGTTGTAGCTCTGTGGTGGATACTATCTGTAATGGTGTTGATTTAGCAGGATGGTAAGAGGCTATGCAATGTGAGAATTTGTCGTGTCACTTCTTCACCCAAAACATTGTTCTCCATAGCTCAGCTTTGTCAAAGTCCAAATTTGTCAGTGTCATAGTCTGAGTGCATTAGGGGAATTTTTTGTGACTTCTTCACATTGTTCTGAAACATCATTTGGGGAGGGCAATTATTTCTATAATAAACAAACTTGATTCTCCACTGGAGACTTTAAAATACTACTCATCCTTAACACTCAAGTGTAATTCAACCAAAGTTCTATGTATGGTTTAGGCCTTTATTAGCACCAAAATATGTCAGATTTTAAAGTTAAAATTTCAAGTCGCAAAGCACTGTATTTCAAATTTTGGAAACTTTCTGTATACCGTTGTGATAATATTAAGTTGTTATTTCAGCAATTGTTGCCATGGTAAGCAACCCATGTTTGCAAAAATTAGCTGGATGGTGTTCGATGAATCTATTTATCAAATTTCAAATGTAAGCTTCCCATGGTCCCTAGTTTTATAGATTAAGTCTGCTTGGATTCAAAGCATAAATCTATCAGCTGCTGCAGCTGAAGGCTATAAAATATAAAATAATTCAATTTATGATCAGTTTTATATGCTCTGGTATAAGTATAATGTATTTTGGGAATAATTTTGGATAACAATCCACAATATTTCAAGGTCACATGTGCAATTTATGTTCCAGGATGAGTAGTTACACCAGGTGTTGTGACCATCTTGGCTTTTGTTTTTTGTTAATATAATGGTCAACAACAATAGGTTTGATGTTGCTGTAATGCAAGATGTATAAAAAAATAACAGAAAATGCGTAGAACATAAAAAATATGAAGGAGAAATCATAGCTTTGAAATATATGTTAGGACAGTACATCTATAAGGAATACTAGAAGTAGATTTTTCAAACCTGTCCTGGCTATACATATATATAGTTTTATACAAAAAACAACCCAAGACTTGACTACTAGTTAAGCTGTTTATTGATAATGAACGAGAAGTCTTCTGTAGCAACAAAGAACAATCTCTTTGGCGTAACAGGGGCTCCTCACTCATAAGCAAACTATTGAAAACTTACTTGCGACAAGCTTGACTCTGCGAATCAGACAAGCGAAGTAAAGTGAACTGTGCTTGACTCCGGAACAGTAGAAATCACTTGACTCTGATGAACAGAGAAGCAACTAGACTCGCTGATGCCAGAGAAGCCAGGAATGATAGGGCTAGACTCTGTAAGAGTATAGAGAAGTACTTGACTCTAAGAGACTCAGAAGGTTCTAGAGAAGTGGCTTGACTCTGACACTGACTCACAGAGCAGCTAGCATAATACAAGGACAAACTTGATGCCAGGGTAACCAATGAGAAGACTCTGGACTCTGAACCGTTACAGAGCAGTGACTTGACTCATGAAAGGACCCTGTCAAGAAGCTTGACCCCCATTAACGCACATCCAGTATATTAAAATTTATGAACGATATGTCTAAAACAACCTATAAAAAAAAATTTAAATAGGAGACAAAATTCCCCAGGAATTTAAAATTCATGGGGAAGAGAGTTAAAAGCCAACGCAAACCTCAACAAGAGTGAGTAGCCCAACTAAAATAGAAGTCAAAATACAAACATTTGCAAATAAAGTAGAACTAAATATATTTGTAATAAAAGCAAAACAATGAACAGGTATATACAATATAAGTAAAACTTACAACCATCTGTCCTAAAGGTGATGAAGGGGATGGCGGGTGGGTAAGGCACAAAAAATAAAACACTCCTCTCGCTCATCAAACACTGAAACTCAATGGATGCCAATACTGATATCCCTCTAAGGAGTAATTGCTGATTGGTTAAAGATAAAGATATAGTAAAATTTAATAATGACATGTATAAAACAAGCTATAAGGAGATTTTCAAATTGGGGGATAAAATTCTCCAGGAATTCAAAAGCCGATTATAAAGCTATACAATACCACGATACGGTTTTACTTGATGACAGGACTCGGAATAAACTTAAACAAAACCTTCCACATGAGCAATTATTCCTGCTAAGTAAAATCGTAAATATGTAAAAAAAAAATGAAAAAATAAGATTTATCTTCAGAAATGAAATTTACAGCATCAACTCTAGACCATAACATTTAAGACCAAAAAAATCAATATCTGCGCTAGATGTTATTGCTTCAAACGTTTGTCTTTTAATGTTTATCTATGTTCAGCCGAAAGTTACATCATATTTATAATTAGTTATCTTACATTTACACTTTGATGTATAAACTGCCAGTAAGCTGATGCTGTCCTATAGAAGGATTTGGATATAAAAATAGTCCATATAGGTTTTTGACACCATGGTGTGCGAGAAAACATTTTTAAAAAACCCAAATGGTTGTTTGTTCAGACCTGTATGTTCTCTGTCTTGGAGATATCCTGACATTATGTGACATGATTCTCAGCTTGGCCTCAAATGAGATTTTGCCACAGAATATCAGTTCTCTATTAAGATTTATCATTCCTAAAGTGTATACTAGTGACAGATTCTATTATACTAGATGACACCACACAATTTGACATAAATATCCATGCAGAAAGGCCGGCTTTTAATTAAGTTTAAAATGAGATTGAATCTCTTTGAAAACAAATGATGTGGACGTGACATAGTTTTGGACAATTTCATTTCAGTAATAATTACCATAAATTTAGTATACATATCCTCCAGTAATTCCCATTCATTTGTATATAATTTAATGGAAAGAAAGAGCCCAATAAACCCCCGTAGGAAGCCCCTGTACCTGCCCCTCATACCTACTCACGAATGCAAATATCTCCTTATTTATTGATGATGCTGAGCTGGGCGGATGTTTACTACCTGAATTGGTGACATTCCACACATACAGAGCGGTATTCACCATTTTGTTGTGTGCTTTTGGTTCATTTTTGTAGCTGGTTTATCATTTTTATTCCCGTTGGTTGGTTGTTGAGTTGGCTGTGTATTTTTGGCCCCATTTCCTCCATCTGTGTTCACACATGTGGCGGTGAGTTTACATTGCTTTTTTCGTTATTTCTGTGATGTTTTTCGCTGGTTTGCTGTTTATTTACATGTCAGTTTTGATTTATAATACAATCTCTTCATGTAATTCCAGCATCTTTACCTTTCAGCAATTGAATAAAAGTTTTAGTATGATTTCTCTTATTGTTTGGTTCTTTGTTTTTGTAGTTGATTTCAGTATTGGGGTTTGGTTTCCCCAATATACAGAGGTTTGTTAGTTCCTCCTTCCCCACAACGCTCGGGGGCCTTATTGACTAGCACTACCAAGCAGCACCAGGTTTCTAGTGCTTCGACTTCTAGGGCCATACTGTCTGCTCAGTCCAAGGGGCTTGGGGCGTCTGCAGCCATGGTTGGTAAGCGTTCTGGCAGACATTCCCATCTGTAGTCCACACAACTCAGGCTGGAGGTGGCTCCAATGGCTTGCTTTTCTGTTCCTAAGTCATCCCTTCCATCAGGATGTGGATACCTCGGAACCTATCGACTGTGAGGGATTGGGCACAGCAGAGTGTGATGTTCTCAACCTTTTGTATGGGGAGCTTTATGGTTGATGACCTTTGATCAGAAGCCCCTTCTACAGATGGTACTCTTTCTGATGGCAAGTCCCAGTCATCAGACAAGCCTGCTGAGGATGAGGTGGCAACTGAGGCTTCCCACCTCGTTTTGGGCATGTCTGCCTTGTGCTACTATGTTGCCTTTCTCTTTGGTGAGAACGATTGCCCACCTACTTCTGCATCATTGGTTTTAGAGGCCACTACATTGCTGAGCTCTGTAGTACTTCCAAAACCTGCTCCTCCCAGTGATAGGACCCTGCCTGAGGACACCATTATGTCCTCTGCTCTGACTACTGCCCATATACATGTTGTGGAGAAGAATTCCTCTTCTACTCCTGATTCTGGGTTTCTTGGGTTGCTACCCGGAGAGATCAACTTATTGGAAGTTGAAGCCCTCTGATTATGCCATCCATGATGGGAAGCTTGCTACTCATATGGCCAAGCTGGAATCGAGGGACTTGTCTTCCTGGCCTGGGAAGTTAGTAGAACAGGTGGTGTTCAAGCCAAAGGGATATCACAAGGTTGAGAGAATGTTGTGCCTCACAATGTCCTGTCATATGTGGATTTTTTCACTGTATCCTTCTACAGACTGATCTGCCTGAGGATTGGCTTTCTGACGGGGTATGATATGCAGGACTCACGTCTGCCCTGAATATTATATTTGGTGGTGGCGTTGCAGTGCTCTCTGCTTACCAATGTAATGCTCACTTGTCGGTGTTCTCACATTCAAGTTAGCAAGCCCTTCTGCTCTTGCCTTTTGATGGTCCTGTACATTGGACCTACTCTGTTCAGATGGGTTTTACCCGCAGTTCAGAGTGATCTGAAGGAGGATTCAATGGCCTCTGACATTCTTTTCAAGAAGCGTGGGCCCAGTGGTTTTACAAGAAAAACTTGAAATTAATTCCAAATGTAAATGAACTACCTGGACTTTTAATTTTTTAGGTTCATTGTCAGATGTTTAAACAACATCTTGGAAATTATCTTTTCACAGGTATATGGAGGATAATGGCTGCAAAGAATTAGAAACCAATGTCATATCTAAGCCTTAGGCTGTTAGTAGCCATGGGTGAGAGGGATTCAGTTTGTTCATTAAATAACAACCTGATATGTTGTAGGATCACCGCTATTGGGGCAGCAGGTGGCATTGGTGTGAAGAGTGATATCCAGTCCAAGTTAAAGGGAGGCTACGTATCTGGACGATACAACCTTACCACTGGAGAACGCTTGTACATTCTGGTGGGGCAAGAAGGTACAAACGCCTGTAGTAGTCAGATGGTAAGTACTCCCAATTTCTGACCTGGTATCTGTTGTATAATAGTTATAGGATCTTATAGGAAAATATTGAATGTAGAGTAATCAAAGATCCATTCTACTGTTCCGACAAACTTTGTAGATAATGAACATTTCCACATCAAACTTAAAGACATTTCAATTTTATAGATATGATCACAATTGGTTATATTACATTTTTGTAATATGCAAAAATATATCATGCATATATTCCGTGAATAACAAGGCATTCATGTGATATATAATCCTCCCAATCAGGTAGTGTTATTTCTTGATTTGCTGAAAATCTTTATAACCTGATCTAAATTTGTACCCATGTCCCATATGCTACCACCCTTCCGTGAAATTCAGGGCATAAACACACACTTTTCATGTAATATTCTAGAGATCAAAGTTATGACAGTTGATCAGATTTCAAATAAGTGAATTATTTTTCCACCCTGACTATGGATCTGACTTTCACATCTTTTCATTGAACTTCAGATCAGTTTTCCAACTTAATAACAAAAGATGTAATATGTGTACAATGTTAACATAAATGTGTGACAACCTTTCATATACTTCCTAACTCAGAATCTAATTAAATCAAAAGTGAACATAGTGATTGATCAGTGGTGCAACATAATTATGTATGACTTATATGTATCCTACCATGACTCTTGGGAATGAAGTGTAAAGCTCTAAAGTTTATCGTAATGGTAAGAATATAGAGATCCAATTATATTTGTGTTTTTTTCGTCTTACGCGTCTTCTTTCAAAACTTAAATCATAGTTTCTCTCATAATTTTCAAGATCTATTTTATATTCAGCTAATCTCTTATCTCTGAACATCCTAAGGGTGAAGCAAGCTTTCTAGGAATCGTCCAGGCTTTGTCTCCTTCTCTTTTCCTTGGAGTCCCTCAGACACTTTACTGTTTTGCCTCTTTATACAAAAAACATTGTAGAGTGAGAAACCATAATTGATACTCTTTGTGCTACACTGAATGTTTCCAGTCTACCATAAGACCATTACGCTACCATAAAATGGTTTGACTGGATGTAAAAATGTTCATGTGTTTGCAGCCCATTTTGTTAACGTAAGGAATAAATTCCAAGGAAGTGCACCTGTCATGTGTGACTCACTGGGATAACTATTCAATTCTCACTGCAGTATTTGAACTTTCTTAAATAGATATAAAAAAACAGTGTCTTATACTTCAGTTGTTTGATAATAGATTGATAATTTACGTATAAAATGATGACCAGAAGAAATATTTGTGAAGGTATTTTTGTATTACAATATATATTACAGGTTTCTGAAACAGTGAATGATATTTGTAGAGAAGGGAAGCCAGGAGCTGAAAATGAAGAAGATTTTTTTGCTACAAATGGAGGAGGTGCTGGAGGAGGAGGTGGTGCTTCATTTGTTTTCAAGGTCAATGTTGTCCAATTTCAAGGTCAATGTTGTCAATCTGTTTACTATTAAAATTGCTTATGTTTTTTTTTTTTTTCAAATACATTTATACAGTATTTGTTTACTATTTTGATGTGCTTAAGCACCTCAATTCCAGGCAGCTTTCTAGACAAGACTTATCAGAGAAGTTTGTGTGAAACAATCTTCAATTATTTTGTCCTGATAGAGAATACAGGACTAGTGTCTTGAGATATAAGCATTATTGTGGCAAGGGTGAAAAAAGACAAAAGTGTTGTGCCATTTTTTTTTTTTTTTTTCGCTGTCCTGAGCCAAAATGCAGCTTATATTTTAAGACACTGACCATGTATTCTATTTATCCTGCAACATTTATTAAAAATGTAGGCTATCGAAACTAGATCAGTCATTTGGTCTATTTATCATCTACCTGACATTTGACAATACACTAAAACGTACCTGATGACACACATACATCAAAATAATGACTCCGTGCTGAAATATAGTTCCACAACTCATTGGATATAAAAAGCAATTTTATGAATTATCATACATAAACTTTGTTTGTTACAAGAAATAAAATTGCTTATTCAAACAGTTTTTTTTTTATATTTTTAAATGCAATATTAAAGTAAATCAGGCAGAAATTCTGTCAAGTTAATGCACATGGTATTTTAAAGCTTCTTTCCGTCACTGCCAAATACAGCATAAATATATGTGTTAGGTGTATTCTGACAATGCCAGCATGTTGCAAGATAAAACCTATATATTTGTAGACTACAAAAGTGTAAAGATTATAAAACTTCATCTTTGAAAAGAAAATTTATGTAGATAATATCGATTGTTTTTGATCTGATATTCCAAGAGATTGTTTAAATTCCGCCCTCAGAAAGTCAGCAGTTCAGAACACTTTGTACCATTACTTGTCGCGGGTGGAGGTGGTGGCCTTGCTTATCGATCTAACTCATCACAAGACAGACATCAGGAAGTTAAACTTGATTCTGGTTCTTCCAGCTGTGGCATCACAAATCCAGAAGGAGCAGGTAAATTTCAGCTTTATGGCTGAAAACTATTAATTAATAACAGATAGTTCTGTAGAACTATTTTAAACATTGTGTGAAATGTAAAAATTTATTGAAATTTTGTAGCATGAAAACGGCATATATTAATTTTGTGAATTGAAAAGGTAGAATTACAGAATAACCTTTAATATAGTGATGATTTGATGATTAGAATTGTACAAGTTTTTCCAAGCTACTTTTTTTATCAAAATGTTAAAGATGATGATGAACTACAGTATTTTGTATTGACATAATACTTAAATTTGAATCAAATTGAACAGCAAAGACACAACACTGTATAATTTTCCTAATATCTAGTGAAGAAAATAAAAAGAAAAAAATACAGAACTTTTGTAATTTGGCCATTTTTTATATTTCTACATTTCCAATGTGCTATTTTTTTTATTTGTTATGTAGGGGGTGGGGGAGGTTGGAGTTGTAACACCACTAACTCCTTCACCCAGGCTGGTCAGTCCCTTCTACAAGGGGCAGTAGGGGGCAGCTCCTGCAACAAATCCATAGCATCTCTGAACTGGAACACTCCGGGAGGATTTGGTGGGGGAGGAGGACCATGTGCATCTGGGGGAGGTGGAGGTGGCTACTCCGGTGAGTTTAATCATTTTGTTTTAAGTTGAGCTTACCCAACACAAAACGGCTGTTACCTTCAATGTCTTAAGCCTATGTCATAAACTGTATTAGGGGTGTAGATTTTGATGAAGAGAATACTTTTAATTATCTCGATATTTATTGCTAGGTTGTGCCTGACATTTGGATCTTTCATCAATCCTACATGTTATATATACATGGGATTACAGAGCTTTCATTTATTTAAAAAAGACCTTTGCTTCCTTTTAATGTCAAAGAGGTCGATTTTATTGAATGTCTTTAGTGATGTTCCATTTCTTGTGTATAATTTGTATAATATCTTTTTTATTATTGTTTTTATAGATAGATAAAATAGTACGCCACATAAGTACAAAGTAAAACAATATGACTGGATAAATAAATGTGTTTATATAATAATGACATCAACACATGACTTCTGAATATCATATAAAGCTGTGAAATCCTATCACTATTTCATTCTGGTCTGTATATACAATTAATGAAGACTGGATTAACAGACAATGCTAGATGACCTGTTTGAAAACTCGTAGTTGAAAATGTTTTTATGTTTCAGGTGGAAATGTGTCCCTACAGGATGGGTTGGAGCACAGTGGAGGAGGGGGTACATCTTACTATCACCCAGATACCCTCAACCCTGAGATACACCCAGGTACTGTTAACAGATTCAATATCAAAGGTCACATTATGAAATACCCAGATACCCTTAACCCTGAGATACACCCAGGTACCGTTAACCCTGAGATACACCCAGGTACCGTAAATAGATTCAATATTACATACACACACTGTTAATGTAGGCATTCTCATAATGTGTGCAGAAAATACATGTAAGGTTCCACATTGTATACTAAAGACAGATACGACTGTGTTGGTTTCGAGCTTTTTTGGATGGGACAGTTGACAATATGCCTTTAACTTTTGCTTTGATTGTTTTATGGAAAAGTTGATTGAGAGGACTTGTATGGTTTGTGTGTTGAGTATTTTAGACAGAATTATGATGAGGATGTGTTTGGTTTGTGTGTTGAGTATTTTAGACAGAATTATGATGAGGATGTGTTTGGTTTGTGTGTTGAGTATTTTAGACAGAATTATGATGAGGATGTGTTTGGTTTGTGTGTTGAGTATTTTAGACAGAATTATGATGAGGATGTGTTTGGTTTGTGTGTTGAGTATTTTAGACAGAATTATGATGAGGATGTGTTTGGTTTGTGTGTTGAGTATTTGAGACAGAATTATGACGAGGACTTGTTTGTTTGCCAGATATAGGACAAAGCTATGGCCTTGTAGAAGTAATCCTCCTGATGAACTGTCGATGCCAGTACTGGTGTAACATTACTGACTTTGACAAGAAGAAGTACACTTGTAAATGTAAAGATGAACAGCAACTAGCTCCAGACCTCCACAACTGTCTAGGTAGGTGGTGTACCTAGAAAATAATAGCAGTGATGTCAAATGACTTCTTCAAATTGTCAGCTTTCCAAGTATAGCTTATTATGTATAATACCAGCAAATTGAAATAAATCTTTTTGAAATTTTAAAAGAACTTTAAGAATATAACACACTATCCTCCACACCTGTTTATCTGTTTAGATTCTAGAAATGCTATAATATTACCTTTTCTTCAACAGAGTCCAACAAGAGTGGGCAGAAGGCGGCAGAGGATGAGGGATTAGAACTAAAATACATTGTTATAATAGCAATAGGATCAACGCTCTTGCTGCTGTTAGCCTCTTCAACAGTTGTTTGTCTGTGTGAGTTACCTTAATGTTCTATGTCATTAATGCTTTAAATGATATCAAATGATTAATTAATTAATTAATATTAAAATAAATCTCCCTCAAAAATTCATTTAAATATGGCATCTTTGTCCCAAAAATATCATTCTCCCCAAAAGGGAAAGCAGAATTCATCTGATATTTTACGATACTTAGTCAGTATAATTATAATCAAAATTTAACATGAATAGAACAAGACTTTGTAGTCATTTCTCAAAATCTGGAGTTCATGCTCCAAAAATACACCAAGAAAATAAAATTTGAATAACATTAGATGTGTTCAGATGTCTATATTACAGTATAACAACATTCCAAGTTTGACTGGAATAGCACTTGTACCAGATGAATTCATTGGAGCGTCGACTGTGTAATCTAGCTATACATCAAGTTTGATAAAGTTATTTAAGAACAAAAACTTAACAGTGAAAAGACAATGCCTCTGTTGTTCCTTCTGGGAAAATAAGAGCAGGTTTTTGAAACACTTGACATATTTTTATCAAATCTAAGAAGTGAAATACAGTTTCTTAGCCTTGATTTTCATCTTATTATTTCCTCTTGAATGATGCCAGAAAGTAGTCAACATTAGCCTGTAGGATAACTTTCACATGTATTACACTGTTTGCTATTGTGAATAAAATGTTCAATCCATTTTTAGTGTTCTAAATAGACAAAAATTGTTAAAAATGTCGCTTTCCGATAACTAGACATAAATAGATCTTTGCAAATGATCAGGCTTTGATTTTATCTGCTGTGATAGAACCTTTAAAATGTCAAACTTTTCCAAGCCTAAGGTTAATGAAGAATCCTATGATAATGAAGGAAATTTCAAACGTTTTTGAAGTTCTCTTATAGTGAAGGTTATCTGGTACATTTAAAAAATTATTGATTTGAGAAAAGAGACACAGCAGTACAGTTGACTAGAATTTTATTTATCCTAGTAATATAGATATCATTAGTCAGATTCTTTGGGTAGATGTTAATTTATTGTGATAAAGACATAAAGAATGAGTCAGTAATAGTATAAGGTTCATAGTGTCAGAGGGTTATGTCAGTACCGATATGTATAATTACAGATCGTCAACACCAGCGGCAGAAACAGAGCAACATCACCATGGAACTAGGCCACCGTTCTAATCATCAGTACACGATCAATACATCAGCACGTAATGGCACTCTTCAGCCCCGAAATGTCCCCCCATTAGGAATGATGGCTGAATACAACCCTAATTATGACTTTGTAGGAGCCAAGTACCCTGAGAAACACCTTCCAGAATTAAACAGGCATAAACTACGCCTAACAAGGTATGTTCTCAAAAAACTACCAAGTACTCTATTTTTTGTATATCTTGGCACATGGATTCCAAATGTCTTATGGAGTTAATTCCAGATGTGAGCCTAATTTCTATACCTAAGTCGCTGTTTCGTTTTTCTTTTTGAAATAGGAGGACTTTTTTTCAAAAATGATTCAAATGCAATGGGTTGTTACCCATATTGTCAGCATTTATAAATTTTCCAAAATTCAGTTCATCAAATATGAAAGCTATGTGCTCTCAGGTGCAATAATCAATGAATCACAGAGAAATATCAAAATTTGGTATCCTTGACTCCAACTTCCATCAATGTATTATTCTCTCCCACCCCTTACAAAAGTTCTCAGCACTGTAGAAGGCTAACTTCTGAAATATGGTTCTAGCAGTTCTAAATTTAAAGTCTGTGTTTCTAAATATAGGACTGGACTCCTTTACGTAGTGGTAATCAAAGTCAGGCTTTCAGAAGCATCCTTAATGACCTTACAATGGTCTTAGTTGGATCAATTTGTCTATTAATACTTGAAACGCTTTGAGGAAAAATAGTGGATAGTCATCAAGGTGAATTAGTAAACATACAAATATTAATGTAATTCACAGAACAACACAAGATCACTTTAACCTACCGTATAGCCAAGTATTTTCACGGGGATGTTTTCACTATTTCACAGTAAATTAGAGTGATTATGAGAATTTAATCTGTGAAATATAATTTTGACCCGTGAAAATTGCCAACCAAGAAAAACTTACATAATTGACATTCATATAATTAGGGGTCAAACTGAATTCCTGATTCAATGTAATTTTAATTCAGGTGATTCGTTCTTATGAAGAAGAAAACTTACAAGAAAGTAATTTTCTTTCATCTATAACCGTATATCAGTTAATCATATTGTTACTAAACGTTATGAATTTGGTTTTGTTATCAATACATCTGACTTAAGAGCAAGTTGTGACTACTTTGCTTGAGGGGATTTGTACTGAAGAGATATAGACAGAGAAAAAGTACAATAAAAGTTCAATCTAATAATCTTGACATTTCCCCTATAAAGTGGACAGTGTAGTGGTCAGTGGTCACTATAGGCCTTGTTGATCAATGCAAGAGATTATACTGGAATAACTGGTTAGTAGTATAGCTGAAGCTGAGCCTAGCATTTATAGCACAGCTGTCTTCTCCATAACACTGAGTCAAATCATTAACCCTCTACACAGATTCACTGCCATGACACTGGGTCAGGTCCTTTACCCTCTACACAGATTCACTGCCATTACACTGGGTCAGGTCCTTTACCCTCTACACAGATTCACTGCCATTACACTGGGTCAGGTCCTTTACCCTCTACACAGATTCACTGCCATGACACTGGGTCAGGTCCTTTACCCTCTACACAGATTCACTGCCATTCACTGCCCTTTACCCTCTACACAGATTCACTGCCATTACACTGGGTCAGGTCCTTTACCCTCTACACAGATTCACTGCCATTACACTGGGTCAGGTCCTTTACCCTCTACACAGATTCACTGCCATTACACTGGGTCAGGTCCTTTACCCTCTACACAGATTCACTGCCATTACACTGGGTCAGGTCCTTTACCCTCTACACAGATTCACTGCCATTACACTGGGTCAGGTCCTTTACCCTCTACACAGATTCACTGCCATTACACTGGGTCAGGTCCTTTACCCTCTACACAGATTCACTGCCATTACACTGGGTCAGGTCCTTTACCCTCTACACAGATTCACTGCCATGACACTGGGTCAGGTCCTTTACCCTCTACACAGATTCACTGCCATTACACTGGGTCAGGTCCTTTACCCTCTACACAGATTCACTGCCATTACACTGGGTCAGGTCCTTTACCCTCTACACAGATTCACTGCCATTACACTGGGTCAGGTCCTTTACCCTCTACACAGATTCACTGCCATTACACTGGGTCAGGTCCTTTACCCTCTACACAGATTCACTGCCATGACACTGGGTCAGGTCCTTTACCCTCTACACAGATTCACTGCCATGACACTGGGTCAGGTCCTTTACCCTCTACACAGATTCACTGCCATTACACTGGGTCAGGTCATTTACCCTCTACACAGATTCACTGCCATTACACTGGGTCAGGTCCTTTACCCTCTACACAGATTCACTGCCATTACACTGGATCAGGTCCTTTACCCTCTACACAGATTCACTGCCATTACACTGGGTCAGGTCATTTACCCTCTACACAGATTCACTGCCATAACACTGGATCAGGTCCTTTACCCTCAACACAGATTCACTGCCATGACACTGGGTCAGGTCATTTACCCTCTACACAGATTCACTGCCATGACACTGGGTCAGGTCCTTTACCCTTTACACAGATTCACTGCCATTACTCTGGGTCAGGTCCTTTACACCTACACAAATTCACTGCCATTACACTGGGTCAGGTCCTTTACACCTACACAGATTCACTGCCATTACACTGGGTCAGGTCCTTTACCCCTACACAGATTCACTGCCATTACACTGGGTCAGGTCCTTTACCCTCAACACAGCTGTTAAGCTTTGCACCAGATTAGATTTTGGTTGTCATCAGTGAAGGTTTAAAGGTCAAATGTCATACCACTTGTGAAAATATTTGGAAATTCAGGTACTTAGATGTGACTTTAATTTCCAAAAGCTAAATTTTTCTGTGAAACGTGTGGTAAATTTACTTAAAGCTGCAAATTCAAGGTCATGAGTTCAAAAATCTATGTGCGAAGTAAAAGGAAGAATAAATTTGATACGACAGGCCAAAATGATATGTTTTTTAACATTTGACTGTTTGTCTGGTCATTTTACCAAACAGCCATCAACATCTGCATGTAGGCACTTAAGTTGTTCTCAGTCTTTTGAGTACTTAAATGTACTAACACTGTAAAAGCACCTACATGATTTATACATACAAATGTAACCCTAAGTTGAATGGTGTCATCATCCAGATGGCATGCAGCCCATAAGATCATTTTCTCCTTCAATGTCCATAAAAAAGACGTACATGTCATATTCAAGGAACTGCCGCAGCGATGAAGCATGAAGTCTGTCTATTAAGCACTTAGAAGACATCCACTTTACTATGGTACACATTTACTCTTTATTTATTTGTCTGGCTTGTGGGCAGTGTCAAAGTTTTATTTGTAAGGAGTAGCTATATAGCCATAGATAATTGCTGTAGACTGTCCTATCTGTACTTAAGAAGAAGATGTAGGAGGAAAGCTGTGGGCCAGTTTGGAAGGAGCTGAACAGTTTAGTTCTACAAAGGAAACGGAAGAACTAGAAAGATCAATTTCCGATATAGTAGAAAAGTAGAGCTCTTGGGTCGGTTTATTGACGGTTTTGCAAGTTATAAAGTTTCTACATGGAAATCAGCAAAGTGTAGAATTGTTCATAATTAGGTAGATAATACAGATATACAGGAGACTGTGTGTTTGGGGACTGAATGTGTAGATATTGGTTCTATAATGGATTTATATGGAATTTGTGTCGTAAACAAAGTATATTTCGCACTGAAATACGTTGTTCAATTGGTATTGAACTGGTGGCCGCGGAAATGCAAAAAGTTTACGTCATGTATTACCAGCAGTTAGTATTTACAGAAATAATGTAGCAACTGCTGAAGCCAGACACTACAAAGAAGCAATAATTATACTGATCTGTGATTTTTAGGACATTTAAGTCCTGGACTCATGCTTTTCTACTGGGACTCGTCCTAATTTTCATGAACCCACTATATTTCTCAGTATCGGGACTCATCGAAATTTTGGAATTGATCTTCTGGATTAACCTGAAAAAAATCCCACAAAAATTACTGACAAGTGACATTGTTGGTTAAAGAACCTTAGCACTGATAAACCTGTAAGGTTTAAATGTTGACAAGCACACATTTATGCAGAGCAGGTACTGTAACTCAGAGATGGGTTTGTATGATTACTTAAATATATTACTGAGATTCTCTCTGTTGGAATTAGAAACATGTGGACAAACCTTGTGTTTTGTTCATTATTGCAAAGTTGACTGCCTTCTTGTAATCTTTTACTGAAATTAGAATCAAAGAAGTTAAAGTTTTTCCACATCTTCATTTCATCTCCATGATGACTTGTTGTGGAATGCTGTAGATACAATATTATAGGACTCTCTCATGTGTCGGGGTGCAGGAGAGTGATATTCCACTCAATATATCAAAGGTTTAGCAACATAAATTTTTATTACAGAACAAATAGGATTTAATCAAAGTATTTAGGACTTATCATGAACCAAGGATGTACAATACGTCATACATCCCAACGTGCGCATACTTAAAACAAAAAAATATACCAATTTCCGATATTTTGTCCAAGATACAAATAAGAAAGACCAGATGTTGAGATCCATGCCACCTTGTTTTGTTTTGAGTTAGTTTAATTTCACTCTTGTTTACCCAGTAACAATAGACCTATCTTCTACAACCAGAGTGTTCACACAAGGCAGGTTTACTGTTATCAATTTTTCAATCATACATAATGTATATTTCAAGGTTAGCATACTAAGAGTTTTGCTTGTGTGGCCGAAAGGGTTTATTGAGTTTATGACAAATCAGTTTGTATTTACAAAATGGTTTATGAATACATGTGATTACCCCAATTCAGATATAGTTATTACAGTTATAAATCACAATTTACTTAATGTATTTAGTATTCAATATTAACCTGATGGTTTATCTGACATTTCTTTTTAGTGGCATATACCTGGTGGCCTCACCTGGCCACAGATATACAGCCACAACATGCTGGGCTCACCCAGTATCTATGTTGATCAGGATTTTCAGTCATTTTAAATGTCTAGAAATAAACATGCAGAGTAGCCCCTAAGATTGCCAAAGTTTATAAATGTAAGTCTGGTACCTGTTATTGATTGTTTAGTTATAAGAGATAATTTTTTACAATACAAAAAATTGTATCTCACTTGAGCGTTGGTGTTATTTGTATAAACATGTGAAATATTAAAATACACTGTTTATCAGAAAGAGTGAAACAGTAGACTTTTCTATGACAGTAGTGTTTAGGTTGACAAACTGATTGCTTTCGTTATATTTGTGTCTGTAAACTTTGGAATCAATAAAAATGAAACAGCATATCAACAAAGAAAACTGTAAATCTGAGAAAGTTAATCCTTCACATGAAAATTCAGATGTTGTTCAACATACTTTCTTTGTTTTGTCATGATAATTTTTCACAGCAGCTTTATAGTACAAATATCTATTGAAATTTTAGAGACATGTACAAAACATGAATACTGCAGGGTTTGATATACAAGGATTCTTGATAAACACTTATGGAATAGATACAGATTCAGGTTTTCATTCTGTATAAGATTCATCGTGTTGTTTGAGATTTTTAAAACCAGTCATTACAGATAATAAATACATGTTGTATTGTGGTGTTCTGTTGTAATGTATCAGTTTTGAGATTGTGAACGATAACTTTGTCAGAATTCATAGTTTGGCTTTTATCATTGATACAGCATACAAGCTGAAGCTAAGTGAGAGCATCCCTTTATTTCTTATGTACCATTTGTGTCTCATCAGTGTGTTACAATATACAGGCATGCATCTGAACCTCACACGAGCTTTCAACTTAAGATGGCTGGTGCCGCTACAGAATATGTACTACATGGACTTTTTTCTTTGATTATTCCTTACAACATCATCGCATTAGCGAATCAAACAGGACATTACAAAATTATGGTAACATAAAAAAATAACCTTTCAAAATTCTTGTTTAGGATTAAATTATGATAGATTATAAATTTTACATACGAGATTTATTCAGTTGTACTTGGCATATTCGTGGAATTCATAAGCTAGATATTGTACTGGTTTTTCCGTGTCGAGGACGCTGATTATAAAAAGTAATCAGATGTGGATACTGGGATAGAGTCAACACTGTTACTTTAAGGAAGGTGTGGTAGGTTCCTTTAATCCCTTGCTTGGATATCTATCTGTATGCAGGGCAATTGGAGTAAAGGGACAAACTAAGAATGACTTTCTTTTTAGGTCACCTGAGCCGAAGGCTCATGGGGCAGGAGTTCCACACATGACAGAAGAATTATGGAATTGTGACAGAAAATTGTCTGTGGCTGTTAAGGTAGGTTGACCTATTGCCATCATGATTTGTCTGTCGTCGTGCGCCGTGCGTCGTTAACTTTTCACATATTTGACTTCTTCTCAAGAACCACTGAAAGGATTTTGACCAAACTTGGCACAAAGCATCCCCATGGGAAGCCGCTTCAAGTTTGCGAACAAAAAGGGCGTGGCCCCAATAGGAGAAACTTGATACGAATGTTCTACACAAGGTCCTGGCAAGTGTTTTAACTTTTTGGGGCAATTCCTCAGGTGACCGTTAAGGCCCCTTGGGCCTCTTGTTTAGATTTACATTTTTTTTTTAAATGTTGTTTATTTATATATTTTCTTATGCAGAGCTTTAGGAAGAGGTGCATTTGGTGAGGTGTACAAAGGCTACTTGGCAGGAGTTCCACACATGACAGAAGAATTGTCTGTGGCTGTTAAGGTAGGTTGACAGGAGTTCCACACATGACAGAAGAATTGTCTGTGGCTGTTAAGGTAGGTTGACAGGAGTTCCACACATGACAGAAGAATTGTCTGTGGCTGTTAAGGTAGGTTGACAGGAGTTCCACTCATGACAGAAGAATTGTCTGTGGCTGTTAAGGTAGGTTGACAGGAGTTCCACACATGACAGAAGAATTGTCTGTGGCTGTTAAGGTAGATTGACACGAGTTTCACTCATGACAGAAGAATTGTCTGTGGCTGTTAAGGTAGATTGACACGAGTTTCACTCATGACAGAAGAATTGTCTGTGGCTGTTAAGGTAGGTTGACAGGAGTTCCACACATGACAGAAGAATTGTCTGTGGCTGTTAAGGTAGATTGACACGAGTTTCACACATGACAGAAGAATTGTCTGTGGCTGTTAAGGTAGGTTGACAGGAGTTCCACACATGACAGAAGAATTGTCTGTGGCTGTTAAGGTAGGTTGACACGAGTTTCACTCATGACAGAAGAATTGTCTGTGGCTGTTAAGGTAGATTGACAGGAGTTCCACACATGACAGAAGAATTGTCTGAGGCTTTAAGTTTATAGGATCTTTCTCTAGCTGGAGGGTAAGATAGAATAATCTCTACCTGAGGAGGAGATTCTTGATTGTCTAACCAGAGGCTTTGCTGATGGTAAGGCTGTCAGAAATCTCCTCCAAGGGTAAAGAATTCTCTGTTTTACCGTCAAGGTAGGTAATATCCTTTTTCTACCCCTTTTTCCTCTTAAAAATAAATAAGCAAATAGATATACATGTGACATTATAACCATCAGTTTAGTCATTTGCATTTTAGGCCCAGACTTTAATGACCCCAGCTAACCCTGACACACCATAAAAATGATGTCATTCAATATTACATAAACCTAAAATGTCACTTCCCATGCGTTCAAGCTGTGTTGCTGTAATTTGGAAATATTTGAATTACCCAGCCTATAGGAATGTATACCATTGCTGAACATTAAGATCCAGGTGAACAATACAGGCCTTTTTGCCTCTTGTTCCACTTCATTTTTGAAAATCTATAGTATGTTTGGTGGCCTTATGCTTAAATATCAAGCACTTATAAAATTTAAGTTCAAAGAAAATGTGATTACTTTTGAAATTAAGTTCCATTTATTTTTATGATGTTTTGTTTAATTGATATTAAGAGAAGATTGTCTTTTATCAGATCAGCATCATTAGAGCTGAAAATGTCACAAAATGTCATACTTTATTACAGCCCAAAAAAAACTGGTTTATTGTCTCTGGAATTTTTTTATAAACAGGACAAAAGTAATTTTGTTTATACCTGTTTTGTGCAGAAGAGCATTTGAAGTTAAGCTTTTATGATTAATTTTAAATTTGGCATTGTAGTGATACTGTTAGACTGTTAAAAGATTATGCATAAACCTTTTTCCATCGTTTATCCTGAATGTTAAATACTGTGCACCATTTCCATTGTGACATCAGTTTCACCTCATTACGACATAAAACAGCATACATATCCAAGCCTTTTTTTTCCTTCCTGTATATAAAATTCAAATTTAAAGGTACAAAAAATGTATATTTTTATAGGTAAAAAGAGGCTCTTTTGAACAATAAAGGATCTTGTTTGAAATATCATCCTCTTATGATAAAAGGACTCCTTTCCTGTACCAATCTTTCCAGATAACACATCCATTGTCTATCTTGATATTGTGATTATACCACAAGGGATTTTTACACATGCTTTCATAGTATTACTTGACAAACATCTTGTTTGATACCATGCTTCCAGAACATTTTTCCAAAATAAATTCTTACAACCTTCTACCGTAGTTTTCAATTGATGACCTCCATAATTAGATAAAGAGGACTTATAAATTAAGTTTTCAGTCATGGAAATAAAATTCGCATCTGTTTATAGAGTTGCTTTACCCATATTGCCTTTAGAGCTGTTGGGACAGATTTTCAAACCACCCACATTGTATGACTTTGATCATAACTTCATGCTTAACTTTATCAGTCTTTCTGCACCACAGAAATTCACATAATGTGTGAATGATTTTTATACTTGATTTGATCTACAGACGTTGCCTGTTTACAGTACTGAAGAATCAGAAATGGACTTCCTTATGGAAGCAATGATAATGAGGTAAGTCCAGAACTTCTTGTCTATTTACCTGCAAATGTAACAGTAACAAATATTCTCCTTACTCTGGTGATCTCACTGGTGACCTTTCTCTTTTCTCTAAACAAATGCCTGATCGCAGTGCTACAAACAAATCTCTACTAACAGCAGATTCTTAACTTAAACTTTACACAGCACTCCCTTTACTTCACAAAGGCTCTTGGAACCCCTAAAACAGCCTGACTTAAAAACAAAATCATGTAGTAATGGAGAGAAATTAAAGCTGTCCATTCTGGGGCTTTGATTATCTTACCGTTGGACCAAAGAAAATTTTCATTTGACTATAAGCTTTTGTGATGATGTGTTTCCCTGTACCTTTATACCTAACACTGTTTATTGACAGTCATCATGGTCATATAATTATCAAGTTATTAAGGTTACAGTGAAGGCATGAAGGGAGATATTAATATCGAGTTTACTTACAAAAAATGAGTTTATGTCTAAACAGGGGTTAAAGGTCAATGCTACACTACCACTGCCACAATAAAGATCAAAGTTACACTATCACTATCAAAATAAATGTCAAGGTTACACTGTCACTGACATTACACTATCACTGACATACTGTAGGTCAAGGTTATACTACCACTGACATACTTAAGGTCAAGGTTACCCTACCACTGACATACTGAAGGTCAAGGTTACACTATCACTGACATAATAAAGGTCAAGGTTATACTACCACTGTCATGATAAAGGTCAAGGTTACACTATCACTGATATACTGAGGGTCAAGGTTACACTATCACTGACATACTGAAGGTCAAAGTTACACTACCACTGTCTTACTGAAGGTCAGAGCTACAATATCACTGTCACATCAAAGGTCAATGCTACACTACCACTGTCATATTGAAGGTCAACCAAAGAGTTTTAAATTCCACTTTAAATTTTGGAATATGTTTTGAAAGAGTTCAGTTATTTAAAAATGTTAAGGTGATTTCTTGAATATTTCAGAATACTTCTGTATAATTAATTAACACTGGAATTTTTTCCAATGAGGTCCAGGTTAAGTTTGATGCTAATTATAGATCACTTATTCTGTTATAGTTATTATTTTCAAACTGCTGGAATCAGTCAAGCTGTTCAAAATCATGAATAAAGTTAATTTATTTTCTCACATTTAAGAAAAATTAATTACACTTTTTACACCAAAATATCAACAAAATTTTGTAAACCTTGAAATTACTCAACACATTCTTAAACGGTCAGAAATAAGTCACTGAATATCTTTATCTACTTTCAGCAAATTCAATCATCCAAACATTGTTAAATTGCTTGGAGTGTGTTTCCAAAGCCACCCACGCTACATCATTATAGAGCTTCTTGAAGGGGGTGACCTCAAGACATTTCTACGGGAGAGTCGGCCGAAACCAGTGAGTAATCCTCTTTATACTTGGTACAATAAACTGGTGTATCATTTATATGTGTCCAACACATACTGCCAATTAGCAAAGAGTTTGTAAACCAACATGGCTCCTGTGACTTGTATGAAAAATTGAACACATTAACAGTTTAACTTGATTTCTATTTGCCAATATTTAATCAGAACTTTTCTAGATTATGTAAGGTTGTCCTTGAGATCAAAATCTAACTTGAAGATTTTGGAACTTCTTTGACTACTGATAAGTTTTGGTCAACTCATCATTTGTTTATCTCAAGTTTTATTGTATAAACTGTTTTCTTTATTTAGGAATCTGAGAATATATTAGCAATGCACTTAACTACAAATGACAAACTTCAGATCTTGTTCAAAGATGTCTTCCAATAGTCATAGCCTCTTATTGGTTGACAACTTACACATAAACCTCCATCATAGCAACAATCCCATCAGTTAATTAGTAACAGGTTTTCCAGGATTAGCTAGTTAGTTACAGATTTTCCCAAATTAGCTAGTTAGTTACAGGTTTTCCCAAATTAGCTAGTTAGTTACAGGTTTTCCCAAATTAGCTAGTTAGTTACAGGTTTTCCCAAATTAGCTAGTTAGTTACAGGTTTTCCTGAATTAGTTAGTTAGTTACAGGTTTCCAGAGTGAGTAAGTTAGTTATACGTTTTCCCTCTGTGTGACTCTTCCCCAGAGTTGTTACCTGGCAATGCTGCTTCAAGTCTTTTTATAAGCTAAACTTTTTTCTTGTCAAAATATTGAAAACTTGTTGCACTTGATGAATCCTTTCAGTTTGTTTTCTTTCTTTCAAGTAAAAACCTCGGCTTATTTTTATGAAATATTACTTACTTACGGGCACACATGTTCATTGCTTTGAAATACAGATCTCCCTTATCATTTTGGGAATTTTATTGAAGTTTTACCATTTGAAGAACTTGAAATTAGCCAGTAGTATATATTTCAGCCTTCATTTGTAGGTGTAGAAATTTACATAAAGTGAGCTTTGAATACAACACATGGGAGGTATAAGACTTTAGTGGTAGATGGCAGACTTTATATAGATCGATTGATAGCTGTTCACACTCTTAAATGGAAAGATGTTGATGTGTGCTTCAACACGACAAAATGCGGAATCAATATTTTTTAACAAAAACCATTAATAGAAACCTTCATGTCAATTTACTGAGCTGTGATATCAGTCTGAGGATGTAATTATCCTGATGAATTTCCCTGTTCATAGTTTGCTGTATACATAAGTCAGCTGGGCAGCTTTGTCTCCTGGGGAAAACAAAAATATTAATCTGTAGGATATGTGTTAGGTCCAAGATAGCTGTAATAACGTAAAAGTGATCTGAATGTTGTACAGTATTTTGTGCTTCACAAGGAAGCTGTTCATTGGAGTATCATTGAAGCAGAGTGATTCGAATGAATAGTTCAGGCTTAATGGTCATTCATGCAGATATTGTGTCGTTGAATAATACAAAGATGATAGGTTGATGTATGAGAATTATTCAGTCGACTGGTCACGCACCCATTCTCTGTCTGAGAAAAGATCTGTCATGAGGGAACTGCTAAACAGACCAGCCTCATCTAAATTGGTCCTTCTGATTAAGACTTCAATAACATAAACACAGAGGAGTAGAGGACACTCCTTATAATGTTTAATTGACTATATATGTATACATTTCATGACATGAAGACTTAAAGATTTATTTTGCAAAGTTAGAGAGTACAATCAACTTAAGATATATTTCTAACCTAAGTTTCAAAATCATTAGATACATGTGTGCTTTTCTATGAATCTTAAGACATAGAATTTTATAAAAATGTTCATGATTTAGATATATCTTTTGAAAACAAAACAAGCAAAAGTGAGAAATAGCATTGAACTTGTGTGATTGCAAAGCCTGTTTAAAACAGTAACAAATTGCTGCTACGGCAGAATGTCTAAAATACAACAACAGAAGAATTGGTGATGATTATTATACAATGAAATATTTGAAATAAAAGCAAAAAATCACTTCTGAAAGTGATCTCTGTTTATGGCCTATTGGTAAACAAAAAAACGTACATCATCTCCAGCCCATTATGTATACTGGTAGGTTTGCCAGTTTTCTAAAAGCAGAAGACACACAGATAAATAAATACTTATTCAACAGACCTGACATTAGCTGTCTCTCTGACAGTGTAAAACTGAGAAACAATGTGACTTTTTTCCCTGAACCTTAAGGAGTTGAGGGGAGAGGATAATTGTAATAAAGTGGTTTCTTCAACAGCTTTGTCTAAGGGACAATGAGCATTGGGTCATGTTTAGGTATGTGTGACATACAATGTACTTTTGGAAAAGATTAAATGAGTTTAAATAAATTACCATGGCCTACTGATATATGTCAGTGACATATCATAATAACCTATATATGTTAGTGACATAATAACCTATATATGTTAGTGACATAATAACCTATATATGTTAGTGACATAATAACCTATATATGTCAGTGACATAATAACCTATATATGTTAGTGACATAATAACCTATATATGTTAGTGACATAATAACCTATATATGTCAGTGACATAATAACATATATGTCAACATAATAACCTATATATGTCAGTGACATAATAACCTATATATGTCAGTGACATAATAACCTATATATGTTAGTGACATATAACCTATATGTTATAACCTATATATGTCAGTGACATAATAACCTATATATGTCAGTGACATAATAACCTATATATGTCAGTGACATAATAACCTATATATGTTAGTGATATGTTAGTGACATATTATAATACAAGTACAGATATTGTATCTTTTTGCCTATTTAGCAGAAGAGGTACTTGTGACAGAATGCTGTTAAAAAGGTTCTCATCACAAAGTCAAAGAGATTCAGATATATTTGTATATGTCAGTGTTATCATATTGCTGTACAATAAGTTATGAAATGATGATTTTTATGATGACAGAAAAGATATTGTGCAAAAATTGATTTTTAGTTATGTGACCCAAAGGGTCAAGATGATCATTAGTCATCAAGTTTTGCCCATTGTCCTGTGTTTTTTGTTGTCTCCCTAAAGGACCATGTGTAAACTGTTTGCTCTTAAAATTTTGTCTCATGTTCCATAAATATTGAAAACCACATTTGAAACTTCTTCATAAGTTCCATTGATGCAATTGACCTAATATTTTGTAGGAATGTGGAGAAACTGATATTAAGAGTGTTTTCTGCCTTCACAGCTAAAACATTCTTAACTGTTTTAATGATGCGATGACTTTCCTACTGCTGCTACCATTACATATATCTACATAGGTATATATATAATCAGATGACTGGTAGGCCCACAAGCCTCTTGTTTTTTTTCTCCTCGCATGAGGAATGAATTGAAAATAACTTGCTGCATTATTTAACAGATTAAATATTTGCATATTTTTAACAAAAACTGCTTCGATGAAAGCAACTTGTTTCTATTACCATCCTTTTTAGGGCTTTGTGATGTTAATTGCCATTAGGTCAATGGTGTTGGTTTTAGGAGTGTAGACATAGACCCAACATAGGGTTCCAAGATTAACTCAGGTGCTTGATTTAGTGCCAATGTTTATACTGAAACTAAGTGACATTCCATTTAAAATTTTAAAAACCCTGGTTAAACACAAGGAAATCTTTATATACAAAATGCAAAAGTATACATTAATTGATGATTTCATGATTAACAGCAACATTCACTCTAGTTGTTAATTTTGTAGAAATGTCTTGTTGTGATTGATGAACAAGTGAGCAGCACAGCGAGTTGTCCGACTAAGAACACCTGTCAGGGAGGTGGTGACTTGTGAAAGCTAGCAGTAGGCATTTCAAAAATTAATTCAGATCAGGTTAGGCTTTTATTGCTCTCCAGGTACATCAGCTGTCAGACAATTTGTGTCTGTGACCTGTCAGTTTTCTTACTGTGTTGACTGTATTTTGGTGGTGATGTCAATGATTTGTCATTGCAGGTTCATTCTCCAGCGTTTGACATTGATAGTTTTAGACACTTTGTTCTGAGGTGTACCCGATAGAGGTCATAGGTTCAAAGTCAAACATATCAAAATTATTTTTCCTAATATTTCTAAAATCTTTGCCTTTAATCATTAGTCTCATCCTTATTCTCTCTTTTAGAGGGAAATGAAAGTGTCTTAATTGGATGTATGTTGGTTGGTAGCTATATATCACAAGCTGATACTGACATGCTGTCATTCTATATATAGCAATGGAAATCATCAGTGATGTGTTTGAAGATTTCTATTTTCTTTGTTTTTTGTCATTTATTATTAATGCAGGAAAATAATTAATAAATATTTAATAATTAAATTTAATAATTAATAAATATCGCCAATTAAATGTTGTAATCAATGACACTGTGATTGAAAATGTAAAAACAGAAAAAACTTCTTGGTGTCACTGTAGATGATTGTTTGTCTTGGAATACCCAAGTTAACAATGTGTACAAAAAACTGTCTTTTTACATTTTTCAAATGAAACGTTTGAGAGCGTTCCTTAGCCAGTCTTCCTGTTTAACATATGTTAACTGTTTTGTAAATCCACACTTTAACTATTGTGTAAATATCTGGGGTGATACTTCACATAATAATATAGCCAAGCTAGAAAAACTCCAGAAAAGAGCTGCTAGAATTATCTTGAAGTGTGATTTCAATACTCCTTCCAGTGACATGTATAAGAAGCTAAACTGGTTACCTTTTACAAAGCGAGTGATGTACAACCAATCAGTTTTAATGTACAAGGTTTTACATGGTCTAGCTCCCCAGTATCTGTACAATTTTAGATATACTTCTGAAGTCCAGTCCAGATTTACTAGATCATCATCTAATAACATATTTTATCTACCTGCTTTTAAGACTGCATTGTATAAGAAATCTTTTACCTATCAGGGACCATATACCTGGAATATTTTACCAGATTCCATGAGAAACGCATCATCATCTTTTAAACAAAATGCCAAAAAGTTTTTTATGGACTCCTTTTAATTTGCTGTGGATTCTTTAACTGATGCACTTTTTTCTTGTTTTCTTAAATGTTTCTCTGTTTTATGTACATTTTGTAATTATTGTACATTTTATGTATACTTGACCAGAAGGTAGACGAGTCTTTGACTCATTCTGTTATCAAGTATAAATAAAGACTATTATTATCATTAAATGTTTACATATTAATGTATTTGAAATGCAACTGAGTCTTTGAAATGATAGATTTTTCTCTAAAGTATCCTTCTATTGTCCGCAGGGTCTGTTGACACATGATACAGTGGTCGTAGTAAAACATTAAAAAAAATATTATGTACAGTTGAGACCCGATAATCCGTGCTCCGTTGGTCCGGAAATCTTGCAGTCCGGATGAGAATCGACGGGAACGGATTTCCGTAACATTATTTTGAGCTACTAATCTGGAAATCCGGATTCGCAATCCGGGCACAATTTCCGGGAACCAAACCCAGAAATATGGTCTTTTTTGAGTCAATAATCTGGACGGAGAAAATACAAAAGAAATTTTTTTTTTCCAGAAAAAATAGACCGCTATTTCATCTTACCTGACTGAGGGTATTGTCCGTCACACATGATTGTATATCGATTGTACCAAGCTGACCTCTGTCTAATGTCACCGTAAAATGTTTGCACTGTTATTAAGTCGTCCTATTATAAACTGTTTTCCAGGGTGAATGAAATTAATAAAAGCGTTTGTTTTGAAATTGGCGTTGTTTATCCTTTCGCCATAATGTCGATCTCTTCAAAGGAACAAACACTATTTTGGGAATGCGTTTAATCAATCAATGCAGGTTGTTATTATACGCGACCACTCGGCTTGGACAATGATCAGTGGTATAAAACCTGTTCGGTAACCTAGGTGTAAATACTAGGATGATTGGATTAACGGTGTTCAGTGATTACATGATGTGAACATGTACCATGTGCAGGCAAACGTACTCAGTACGGCATACATGATCAACACCTCTGGATGGTAATGACAAGTTCAACGGTCATCAAGGTCATGTTCCAGCAATCCAGAAGATTCACAATCCGGACAAATACTGCTGGGGACCAATGTGTCCGGATTATCGGGATTCGACTGTATTGGGAAACAATTTTTTCCCCATTTCATTGTAAAACATTCCAGGAATTCCAGGAGAAAATAATTAAATAGATATGAAAAAATAGAAAAATAAATAAATGCAAGATGTCTTAGAAATCTTAAAAATTCTCGGAATCACCAGCCATAACCAAGTGCCCTGTTTCATACTATACTACTCACAATTTGATAGGGATCACTTTTTTATTTAATGTGTAACGGTATCTATTTTAAGAATATATTCTACAGTTCAATTTATATATATTTTGGCAATATAATTATAATTTGCTTCAATGCTCATTGTATATAGATACCCCGAAAATCGCAAATTACGACAAAAGGGGCGAAAAATTAAGTCCTACGAAACAGTGTCATTCAGCAAAAAATACAGTGTTAGTATCAAGTATAATGTCCTCGAGCATCAATTACACTCTGGAAGTGGCGGTGCATGCTTCTGATCAAGTCTCGTATCCAGTTTTGGGGAATACTTGTCCATTCAGCGACAAGGGCTGCTTGAAGTTCCTGAAGCGTTCTAGGTTGGATGTTTCTCGCCGAAACAGCGTTCTGAAGCATGTCCCACACGTGTTCTATAGGATTGAGATCTAGAGATCGGGCTGGCCAGTCCATCCTCTCAATTGTTTCCCTTTCCAGATACTGTTCAGTCACACAAGCTCTGTGTGGTTGCGCATTATTCTCCATAAGAATGAATTCCGGACCTATAGCACCAGCATAAAGCCTGACGTACACGTCCAGGACTTCGTCACAGTACCTCTGTGCAGCCAAACTGCCATTAAGGAACACATGAAGGTCGGTCTTGCCTTGCATGCTAATGCCACCCCAAATCATATCAGATCCACCACCGTATCGGTCATGTTGGGAAACTTTAGTGGCATGGAACCTCTCATTTGGTAGTTGCCACACCCTGGCACGTCGGTCAGTGAAATCTAAGCAAAATTTAGACTCGTCTGTAAAAAGTACGGGGGACCAGTCATGGAGGTTCCAATTCACATGATCACGAACCCAAGCATGTCTAGCTTGAACATGTCGTAACGTCAAAGGAATTCTCACAGCAGGTCTGCACCACCTTAAACCAGCATCATGAAGTCTATTTCTCACAGTTTGTGTGGAGATATGAGTTCTGGTGGCATTCTGGAAGTCATTACGTAGTGGCGTAGCGTTGATGAACCTTTGACATCGAGCTGCAATAACAAGATAGCGGTCTTGATGCTGCGAGGTAAGTCGTTCCCGACCCCCACCATGTCTTCTGGAGACAGTTCCATAATTTTGGTAACGATTCCACATACGGGACACAACACTCTGGGACACACCAAGGTCATTGGCCACCTCCCTTTGTGACCGACCAGATTGGATCATACCAATGCCCCTGTCCATATCTGAAGTGCTTAGACATCTTCTAGCCTGCTGTCGGGGCATTTTGAAACCACTAAAATTCAAAATGTAAAGCAAAAAGCAAGATATTCTGCCACAAACGTATTGATGACAATCTGCACGTAGAAGGCCAGTATGTGTACACGTGAAGTGCAGATATAAACCAACAAATATAAGGAATACGTATTATTTTATTTTAAAAGAAAATTTTGCTAATTATTAGGTGTGATCCCTATCAAATTGTGAGTAGTATATATAGCTATGGTATTGTTTGCTGCACAGGACACAAGCAGCTAACCTATAAACAATCTGGTAACAGTATTTGCTTGCTACATCAGGAAAAAGTAACAGATAAATTTCTGGAGTAACTTCCGAGTCATGTAGAAGCTTTGCAATACTGACTTCTCCAAGTGGCATATGATCTAGTATATGATGTAGCATTTAAAACCAAATGGTAGACTGACAGAGGACATTGGAATTTAATAAAAATTTCAGCAAGTAAGTTTTCTCGTGTGGTCAGATCATCTAATTTAGGCAATGTGGATCAGTTGTTTTAAAGTTGCTGTGGTCATTAGCATAAGAATTATAATTCTTATATAAATGCTTATTCACTTAATTTTTTTTAAAATTTTTATAGTTCAAAGCCATAACCATTGGTTCTTTTATGAATCTCTGTAAAACATCATTAAAAGTCTATTAAGATACAGCAAACCCAATAAAATCTACAATTAACCTAGAAGATGCATTTTATCCATTAAGTTATTGATATCAAAACTTTTGGGAAAAGCAAAATTACTTAAAATCACCAAATTTCTTGCATTTGGATAATTAATGGTTTTTTTTGGTTTTTTTTACGTACGTTATATGTTAAATGTAAAAGTATTGCAGCTGGTTGGTTTTATTTGAAATAGATGACATTACTTACACCTGTTTGTTTTAGCATTTTAGTCGGAGTTCTATTCTGATACAAATTAAGGTCCTTTTTAGTTTATGTATTTTAGAATCGTGTATTTTCATGGGACCCAATTTTCATTGTTTTTTTTTAAATGTCACTATTTCCTAGATACATGATATTATGGATAAATATAGCTTAATGAATTTACTTATACTTATTTCAACAGTTCATTAACATAATTTGGTGGATTCAGAGTACTCACAAAATTAATGAAAATAAATTTCCCATGAAAATGAATGATTTTACAGTAAGCAGAAAGACCTATTTAAGAAAGGACATCTACTGCATTGTAGTGGTGTTGGTTAACAGATAATCCTAATTGAAATTCATGTAAAAATTAAGTCACATTCAAGATGGCTATCTTAATGGCCTTCTCTGAAAACTAGTTATCCTTATCAAAATCTGGAACCCTGGCAGTGTCACATTCAAACAACTGCCACCTTGAAACATTTTCTCTTGAAGAGGAAGTCATATTGAGACAGGACTTTCACTGAATATGTATTTGGTCTAAAGATGGATCTAGCCGAGTTTTAGACTCCTGCACAACATTAGTAACATAATTTACAACAAAATATAGCTACAATACTCTGCGATACTTGTGAGGAGCCATTGTTTTATTTCCTGTAACACTCCGACATGTTCAAATTTATTATGTCGCTATCTAGATTCACTCTGATGTTGAAATAACAAAACAGACAAACAATGAATAAATTCACAATTGTTTTATATAATATTACTTACCAGGTATACATTTTTGTACTTGGAAATTTTATCATAGACCTATCGTGCAATGGTGTTAGCAACAGTCAATTTAAATGGTACAGTACCTATGATGAATATTTGACTTGAAGGCTATGGCAGTTTTTTAAATTTAAAACCATTCCACTAACACAGTATTTAAAAGATAAACAAATTAAATTTGGGTAGGGAGTTTATTTACTAGTAATTAATTAAAAGTTCTGTGTTATATCTTAATTGAAGTGAGTTCATCTGGATAAGTTTACGTAACTTTTGATAACTATCAGATATATGAACCAGTTAGAGCTTAATTGATATCAGTCGTTCATCATTCTAATAAGATTCATCTTTATAATCCAGGGAGCGACTTCACCATTACTGTCCATAGCTGACCTTCTCAAATTGTCCATAGATATAGCAAAGGGCTGCCAGCACCTGGAGGAATGTCACTTCATACACAGGTATAAACTTACATGGCTGTTGTATACAGACCTGTTCCCTGGTAGAGCATTAGTATAGTTCCTTAATGTCACCTTCCCATCAGTATCGTGTAATATGGTATTGTAAATGCCATTAGTAGCAAATGATTCTTCAAATTTATGATAAGTCTTGCATTTTAATTTACGTTTATTTTTTATTATGAAAGACACTGGTTTTTGAAAGGATTTATCATTTTAAATTTTACAAATTCCCTTGGAGTTTCTGTTCCATTCTGTATCCTTGTAATAACAGCATGTTACTATAAAAAGATGAAGGTCACAGTAAGGAACCAAGGTGGATATGTGATTTGTTGATACACATGTAGCCATCTCGATGCTTTTTCAGTGGTGTTAATTCACCTTAATAAGTTTTATCTCCTCTTGTGATGATTCTAAGAGTGAGGTTTAACTGTGATTTATATATTTGGTTGTGATGATTCTAAGAGTGAGGTGTAACTGTGAGTTGTGTCTATGGTTGTGATGATTCTAAGAGTGAGGTGTAACTGTGAGTTGTGTCCATGGTTGTGATGATTCTAAGAGTGAGGTGTAACTGTGAGTTATACATTTGGTGGTGATGATTCTAAGAGTGAGGTGTAACTGTGATTTGTGTCTATGGTTGTGATGATTCTAAGAGTGAGGTGTAACTGTGATTTGTGTCTATGGTTGTGATGATTCTAAGAGTGAGGTGTAACTGTGATTTGTGTCTATGGTTGTGATGATTCTAAGAGTGAGGTGTAACTGTGATTTGTGTCTATGGTTGTGATGATTCTAAGAGTGAGGTGTAACTGTGATTTGTGTCTATGGTTGTGATGATTCTAAGAGTGAGGTGTAACTGTGATTTGTGTCTATGGTTGTGATGATTCTAAGAGTGAGGTGTAACTGTGATTTGTGTCTATGGTTGTGATGATTCTAAGAGTGAGGTGTAACTGTGAGTTGTGTCTATGGTTGTGATGATTCTAAGAGTGAGGTGTAACTGTGAGTTATATATATGGTTGTGATGATTCTAAGAGTGAGGTGTAACTGTGATTTGTGTCTATGGTTGTGATGATTCTAAGAGTGAGGTGTAACTGTGATTTGTGTCTATGGTTGTGATGATTCTAAGAGTGAGGTGTAACTGTGAGTTATATATATGGTTGTGATGATTCTAAGAGTGAGGTGTAACTGTGATTTGTGTCTATGGTTGTGATGATTCTAAGAGTGAGGTGTAACTGTGATTTGTGTCTATGGTTGTGATGATTCTAAGAGTGAGAGTGTGAGGTTGTATGATTCTGTGATTTGTGATCTTTGGTTGTGATGATTCTAAGAGTGAGGTGTAACTGTGATTTGTGTCTATGGTTGTGATGATTCTAAGAGTGAGGTGTAACTGTGATTTGTGTCTATGGTTGTGATGATTCTAAGAGTGAGGTGTAACTGTGATTTGTGTCTATGGTTGTGATGATTCTAAGAGTGAGGTGTAACTGTGAGTTGTGTCTATGGTTGTGATGATTCTAAGAGTGAGGTGTAACTGTGATTTGTGTCTATGGTTGTGATGATTCTAAGAGTGAGGTGTAACTGTGATTTGTGTCTATGGTTGTGATGATTCTAAGAGTGAGGTGTAACTGTGATTTGTGTCTATGGTTGTGATGATTCTAAGAGTGAGGTGTAACTGTGATTTGTGTCTATGGTTGTGATGATTCTAAGAGTGAGGTGTAACTGTGATTTGTGTCTATGGTTGTGATGATTCTAAGAGTGAGGTGTAACTGTGATTTGTGTCTATGGTTGTGATGATTCTAAGAGTGAGGTGTAACTGTGATGATTCTAAGAGTGAGGTGTAACTGTGATTTGTGTCTATGGTTGTGATGATTCTAAGAGTGAGGTGTAAGTGTGATTTGTATCTTTGATTGTGATGATTCTATGAGTACAATGTAACTCTGAGTTGTAATTGTAACTAGGAAATCAGTCAAATTCAGTTGTTAAATTCTAAAACTCAAGTCTTAGATATATATATTGGAAGATTGATGTGAATCTATCAAACCCCTAGACTTCCTTTTAAGAAGAATTATGCGTTTTTTCCTGTTATTTTTTTTATTTTCATCATAGGGATATAGCAGCACGGAATTGCTTATTGACATGCAAAGGTGCAGGAAGGATGGCAAAAATAGCAGATTTTGGTATGGCAAGAGATATATATAGGTAAGTTGAAGCCAGATATTTGTATAAAGGTTCGATGTGGCTAGAGATATGTATAGGTAAGATATGACCTGTCATATATATATATATCTGTGCTGTAGACAGGTATATATAGGTATATGTTACCTGGGATATATATATAGTTGAGATGTAGACAGGTATATATAGGTAAATTTGGCCAGATGTATATTGGTAAGGTAAGACCAGGTATATATAAGTAAGATGTGGGCAGGGATATATATATATATATATATATATAGTATATATAGGCCAGATGTATATTGGTAAGGTAAGACCAGGTATATATAAGTAAGATGTGGGCAGGGATATATATATATATATATATGTAAGATGTGGACAGATGTATATAGGTAAGGTAAGACCAGGTATATATAAGTAAGATGTGGCTAGGGATATATATATATATAGGTAAGATGTGGACAGATATATAGGTAAGGTAAGACCAGGTATATATAAGTAAGATGTGGCCAGGTGGTGTATAGGTAGGATGTTACCAAGGAGATATGATAGATGCGATGTGCTGTTATTAGTCAGAGTTTCAGTTGTGGAGCCATTGGCTGAGTGCTTTATGTCTTCACAGGTATAAATGTCATAAACATTAATGAATCTCATTTCACATACTGTCATAAAGTGATATTTGTTTGACAATTGCAGATCTTTTGTTTAATCCTAGTTAACCATAACATGACTAAGGTTAACCCTATTCTGTGTACAATACCTTATACACTGGAACTCAGAAGTGACCCATGTGCTATATGAAAAGTCAAACAAATCCATTAAAGAGCAACACAGAATTTTTTTTTAAACTTATTTCGTTTTCAAGGGCTTCAACTTAGCGTAGACAGTGGTATTGCATCATTCACTGACTTTTTCATAAGCAAAATCATTATTTTCATATTTATATTCATATCATATTACTATGATATTTTTGTGATATCAAATGTTATAAATGACAGCTTGTGGAAAGAGTGCTGATGTTCCCTCTGAAGTTAATAACTGCAAGCTTCAAGTTTCAACTGGCTTTTAAATTGAAAAAAAAGGCAATAAATTGGATGAGAAAGATATATCTTAAAAATAAATTTGTCAAAACCTAGACAAAAAAGTTTGTAAAAGTGGAAGCCATGACCAATCAGATCAAGTAAAAGTTGTATAGAAAAACATGTTATGGAATGTCTCAGGGCTTCAATATCATATCATAGATATACAGTAGAAAGCACTTTTATATTTAACGTCATCAACACCTGTTAAAATTGATATTTAACGTCATCAACACCTGTTAAAATTGATATTTAACGTCATCAACACCTGTTAAAATTGATATTTAACGTCATCAACACCTGTTAAAATTGATATTCAGTTTTTGCCGAGATATATTTCTTAGCGATTCCATGATTTTGTTTCTTTAACATGGTGACAATGTCATTTAAGGGCTGGGTTTGTTAGTTTCTTGATACATAGCACATACAGTATATATCCTCAAACAAGCCCCATCCCCGAGTTTAAAAGCTTAAAAATAAAATTTGGCTGGGGACTTATTTTTCAACTTCACTTAGCTTACTATTTTGAAATTAATGCTTCTGCAAAATTAAGGGAGCTTATTCATAGGCAAGGGCTTATGTATAGGCAAGGGCTTATTTATAGGCAAGGGCTTATTTATAGGCAAGGGCTTATGTATAGGCAAGGGCTTATTTATAGGCAAGGGCTTATGTATAGGCAAGGGCTTATGTATGGGCAAGGGCTTATGTATGGGCAAGGGCTTATTTATGGGCAAGGGCTTATTTATGGGCAAGGGCTTATGTATGGGCAAGGGCTTATGTATGGGCAAGGGCTTATTTATGGGCAAGGGCTTATTTATAGGCAAGGGCTTATTTTCAGACAGATACGGTAATATCCCTTGTACTGATACAACAATTTGTGTTTTCTCCCAACTTTAGATCTGATTATTATAAAAAAGGCGGTAAAGCTATGCTTCCCATTAAGTGGATGCCACCTGAAGCCTTCTTGGATGGTCTCTTCACAACAAAAACAGATGTCTGGTAAGGATGATGTGATCTGTGATAAATGTTATACCTGTCTAAACCAACACCTCACTTTACTGACATCTTCTGTTTCTATTCGATGACCTCACTCCTGTCAAAATCATTACCTCTTTTTTCCACATGTTAAAGCAAGGAAATTTGATAATAGCTTGTTTGTCTACTTTTGTAGAATGTATCTTTGTAATTCTGAAGTAAAGAATCCAGCAATTTACACACACACACTAAATCACTGACACGCTGTGTGTTACAGTTTCACTTTCCTATAGAAAGATCTGGGAACTTAAACCTGAAGACCACTTTACAAAATTCATGATTATAATGTTAACTCTATTGCTTTAAAATCTGAGATCTTAAGGGAAAAATTTAGGGAAAAAAATAACAGCATATCATATTTCTGACATTGATCAAAGGAATGCCCCCATAACCTTAGATGAATATGACTTTTTATCTTTTTTGTCAAAATTCAAAATTTCTCAATAAAAGTAAGCCACTAGTAGCAAGAAGTTCCCAATCAACATTATATACATTTGTTTCAATTTTGATCAGTATCTTTGAGAACCTCTCAACAGATTTGGTTCTTATTTAGGTATTATAGGCTGATTATGGAACCCTTGTGATTGTATCCTTGATTACAATTGTTTTATGTTACAGGTCATTTGGCATTTTGTTGTGGGAAATTTTTTCCATGGGATATATGCCTTATCCAGGACGTACAAATCAAGACGTCATGCAATTTGTGACAACAGGTGGGCGTTTAGAGTCCCCAGATAACTGTCCACTGCCCATGTAAGTACTTTGATATTAACATAGTAAACTACTGTCCTTAACTTGTACGTTATTTATCAGACATTAAGCCCATGTCTGATCATAAACCCCATAGGGTTTGTTGCAGGATTTGAATTAAAATGCTATTGTGTGTTTCACCATACTCAAAACCAAACCATAGTGAAATGCTTTAATTGTCTTGAACAGGGTTTCTTTAAAAACTTTAACTGGTAAAGCCATTGAAAAACATTACTGTTCTTGGGTCTCCAGTAGCATTTTGTATCATTAAACAGACGGCCATCTTGAATTTTGAGAGTAAGGAACATAGAGGTTCCCCATAGCCCTACCTGTGTTTATTTAATTCTGGGATAGAGCGATTGAAAAATAGAATAGATTTAGTTGACTTTGTCCCCTAATTGCTATGAAAATTGATTTATTTAGAAATACACTTGTCATTTGTTACAGTTAAGTGTAAGTCTGTCTCATTTATTAATTATATTACAGTTATCAGCTGATGTCAATCTGTTGGGCAGCCATTCCAGAAACAAGACCTATCTTCACTGAATTACTGGAACATTTAGGGAGATGTATACAGGTAAATGGTCTGTTTAAACCCAGATGAATCAAAATACATACTGGGTAGTTTCTTATGTGTTGTAGAAGACATTGAAATACCATGAAAAGTAAGATGGCAGCAAGTCATACCCTTCTGCAAGGATTTACTTAGAGGAATTGGCAGTTTATCTATGTATCTGTACCTCCGCTTGTCTGCTCTAAAAGCTTCTCCTTGACTTCTAGACTGACTACATTTAATTTTATATACAACCCCCATTTGTCCTCCAAGACTAATTGTCCAATTTATTACGTTTGATTTTGGTAATGATCAGAAAAAAAATGGCCCACAAGCGGCCATCTTGAATTTGACTTCAAAAGTTTGTTATCACTATTTCTTGAGAAATTCTCTATAGATATTTCTCAAATTTCATGCATAGTTTCCTTCAGGTCCATAGTTATGCATGTTTGAGTTTGGGACTATCCAGAAAAACAAAATTGTATTTTGCCTTGCAAAGATTGTTATTGCTATTTCTTAAGAAGTATTAAATGGATATCTCTCAAATTTCATATTTATGTTCCCTTTGGTGTCTCCTTATGTTCCTTTGATTTGGGAACTGATCAGAAGAAACAAAATGGCTTGTAGGCAGCCATTTTGGATTTAGCAGGTGAAGATTGTCATCGCTATTTCTTCGAAGGAATGTTCAAATATCTTATCATTAAGAGCAAATACAGAGAAGAGAAGTGAAAAGAAGGGAAAAGATCCAACTTTCAAAGAGCAAGTAAAGATTAAACAATGGTGGGCGCTAAGATCGCTCTGGGATCTCTTATTGATCTCAAAATCTCTTCAAAGAAAATTTGAAAAAGTTGGCATATTTGTACTGTAAATATTTCAAAAATACCAATACAGATAAACTTTTATATATTTCTCAGAATCCAGATGTGGTCAATGCTCAGCTACCTGTGTTTTATCCCATACCTGCCTTAGAAAAAGAAGGAACAATAATTCGTCCTCCAGATAACTTACCTCCCTTGGCAACGCTTTCGGAAGAAATGTTTCATCGAGATGTACATGAGTCGGACTCCAGGGAACCATTGTTAACACCTTCCAGCTGTCACCAAGATGATAAGAACTGCACATTTAGTGACAATGATAACGGCTCCAAAGTCGTGGACAATGCTGAAATTCAGTGTCCGAACCTAGTGGTCAGACTTACACCACCTGACAGTGTTTCCAAATCAGCCAGTGAAAGCTCAACTCATCAGAAAAGTAACCAATTGTTATCAACATCAGACTGCTCAACTGCATCTTTAGTAACGTACGTTTTGGATGCGACGACTCAGTGTAGTGATATGAAGCAAACTAGAACTAACAATACATCAGTGAACAAGGATCACCTTAAACAAACGCATGCTGAGAGCAGTCCTCTGCTACTGCAGGACGAGGACTCAAGTCAGGGTAGTCATGACAACAACTGTAACACAATGTCAAGGTCAGATAGCAGTAGTGTCAAATCAACGGACCATAAAATGACTGCCTCTATATTTGAGAGACTGAGGAAGGGAAGCTTGAAGAAAAACTAAGCAGAGACCAAACTTTTCCCAAGAAAATGTCTTGTATTAATCATTTTTTCTTTTTTTTAAGTAATGCTAAATTGATAAACATGTATATTAAATGTTAAAAACACATCTTTGAACTTTCATTTATTTTTAGATCATTGTTACTGTATCTCTTAATTTGGTTTGTGACTTGTCTCCCTTCCCTACAGGAAAAAATACATGAAAACGTACGGCATTAAAAAGATGAAATAAATTGTTATTGAAATTTTTCTTCAAGCAAAAGTTTTACGGGTGTTAATAGTAAATAGTTGATCTCTTCAATATTTTACCACAATACTGTGCATATCATGAACCTTCACAAATTAACAATAATTTGAATTGTTTTAATTTTTCTTTCTCATGGGTTATTTTACATTTTTACACAAAGTTCTAAGGTCAAGATCACCATGATTACATGATTAAGAAATTCTCTGTCAGCACTCGAGCAGCCTCATTCCAAACGGATTTTATCAAGCCTCACACAACTAAAACGTATCATCATATTGCAGACAAGTTTGAATTTTAGGATTTGGAGATGGCTTAATAAAAGATTTATAATCTTGTTGCCAGATCCATCTTCAATTTTATAATATGTGTATGTTGTAAATGAAAATCTGAAAATAAAATATTGTTTAAACCAATTTTAGGATCCTGGGGTCAAGGTTATCATCATAAAGTACCATCATATCGCAGAAAAATTTGGAATTCAGGGTCTGAGAGAAAAGGTCATCTTTACAATTTTTGAAAATCCTAGTCAGCACTCCAGTGGCTTCTCCGCAATTTGTATGGGATGAATTTTTTTAATATTTTACATCTTCATTTCATTCATTTTATTTTCTATGCTTGATTCCTTTAGTTTCTTTTCTAATACATTCTGTCAAGGACACAAATTAGTCCTTACATCTCTAGGCTAGCTGTGTGGTTCTAAATGTCCAACAGTGAGCAGAGTTTTTCATAGTCTTCAACTGGAGCTATGTCCAGTATAAGCAGTGGGCCCTGTAGGCTTATTATGAGACACCTATTGGAACTCTCTATTGGTGGCCATGAAGTGTAGAGAAAATTAGCTGTGGGATTTGGAGTCTCTCTTTTGATAATTCATTTACACAAATAATCTTTTGTATTGCTTCACATTTATTTATTTGTTTATTTATTTATTTTAGATTTCCAGATTGTTTTGAAATGTATGAGTGTATCTAGGTTACTGTTGTGTCATCTTTACACATTTAAACATCATATAAGACCAAGATTATTCAAATTATTTCAAGTAACAAAACTCCCAAACTAAACAATATAGTTTCTATCAAATATTATTTACACTGTTTAGAATGGAACTTTTCAAGGAGAGACAAATTTCTTCAATAAGGCATTCTGATCTCCCAGAGTTACTGCCCTTTGTTTCACTCTATCAGCGACAAGTTTTGACAGCCAATGGGGGCTGAGAATGTAATAAGGAAGTATTCCTCCTTAACAGAGAATACATTAGTTGTGGACTTCCTTTAACAATCAAAATGTTATACATTTATCACTCTATGTATCATTTACATACTTTAAACATGTAATTTTGAACAAAGTTATAGAAGCCTCTTCAAATTTTGCAATTCTTGATTTTTTTTTCATATTAACTGCAGTAAACTGGGACAGGAATAAAAAATTTATAGTATTTACTGTGTCCTGATGACTTACAAATATTCACACACAAACCTTTTAAAAACTTATTATAATTCAAAGATAACAACGTCTATCTTTTTTGAGCTAGTGAGGGCCTGAAGATCATGTGAACTTCTGTTAATAAATTCAAACTACTTGCAAGCTAGGTCACATAGTTTTATCAAGCACTTTTTAATTGGTCACATATGTTAAACATTAAGTAAGATTTCCTCTTTAGAACTATGAAATAATCATATGATGTGCTCAGATAACATTTGACCAATAGCCTAAGAGGCCTTACAGCTGTGATTTTTGTTTTCTTTTATTCAGCGACATATATTGAAGGTTGGAGTCAAGTTATAAAATGTTAATGGGTGATAGATTGAATTGGACCTTCAGTTCAAGGACTAAGACATATCTTATCCCTTAATACTTATCCCTTGTTATGGCTATCTATTTTTGCAGACACATGTATTGAATACATCAATTACCTTTATATAAAATTGTACTGAAGATGTTGTAGATATATTAAAGATACCAATTAAAGAATTATGTTTTGATCATAATTGTTATATTACAGTTTTTCATTAGTAACTTTTCTAATAAAAAGATGAGCTGCATGTATGTAGGAAATGAAGTAACTTCAGAAAAATAGATTTACCAAGTCAAGTAAGTCTAATCTTTGACATCAGTAAATTACTTCAACAAAAAGCCACAAAATGTGGCATTATCCCCCAAACCCAAATATATATATATATATACCGATATACATTACAATTTGTGACATCACTCAATTATGTACTGCTACTATCATCCAATACAGTGAAAGCACTAGAGCAAAATGTAACAGGTCTTCTTTTGTCAATTATCAATTAAATTTCCTTGCAACTCTTCAACATTATATATATATATGTATATATATGCATAAATATCTTGTATATCAAACCACATATTAAGAGTTCATATCTTGATGTAGATCCTGTGTGTTTGACAGCTGATATTTGAATAGAGTGTGGTATTGTCCACAGACAAATTTATGCAACACTCTATAAGCTTTTGGGTTTTACAAGAAGTCACAAGAAATAAAAAAAAAATTGATGGTAAAAAAAAATAAACAATAAAATGTCCTCGATAATAAAAGGCACAACTAGGGCACTAACCTAATTATACAGAAATTTTAGTGGAGTAGAGTGGATGGTTTCAAAGTTGTAGCCTGGAACGGAAAGACAAAAATATTAAAAATGAAATGTTGTCAATAGCAAAAGGTACAACTAGGGCTCTTACTTCATATATACAGCAAGTTTTGTTAAGCTCAGTTGAATGGTTTTGAAGTTATAGCCCGGAAATCCCTCAGACAGATGCAAGCATGCATGAACACACGGGTGAAAAGAGTCCAAATAAATATTTCCCTGCAAACGTGTTTCACAAGGGATAACAATGACCCAATTATGGACACACATGCTTTCTAATGTTACTGTTGATATAGAGATTTGTGCAGGAATGGAGTCAGTTATAGGAGCAAAGTTTATTTGTATTTGATGGTAAAGTGGTATAGACCTGCTCATTATAATTTAGAAATAAACAATTTCTGAAAGTAAAACACTGAAAATATGAAAAAAATGAATATTTTATTTCATTCACACATCATACTCCAACCAATGTGTTATCAATACAGTGTGTAGTATACCCATTAAAATGACATGTTTCTTGGTTAGGTGCCTAAAAGTAACATCTCAAATGATACGATGAAACATTTTCATGTAAAAAAAATATAATGTGAAACATCGTAACATTTGAAGTTTTTACGTAGAAACATTTTCAGTACTATCTAGTAACATTTCCAATGCCACATATAGTAACAATTGTTCTAATGATACAAAATAACATATGCCAAAAGGTACTGATTTAAAATACTTTCAAACTTAACAATATTTAATGGTATACACAACTGTAAGCATGCGACACCCATTACCATTAACATTTCAACAAAGCAAAACATTCAAATTCACACATTTGTGTTGTCACCAAGACCACAGTTTTAAGTCAGAATTTTCAGTTAAGGCGACATTCTTTATCCTATTTTCAAATCTGACTAAACCAAGTTGAATTCTTGTTCAACCCACATCTTCTTACAATATTCTGGATATTTGGAAAAATTATTATTGAAGGCAAAACTTTTTTTTTCCAAGACAAGAACTAGACATTCATTTCCACAACAATTACAGCTAAATGGATCCAAAATACATATGTTGAACATTATTTAGAATGATTCAATCAAAAGCTATAAACTTTGATTTTTTGGATGTTAACAAAAATAAGAACATACTGTAAAAATATAGTTATTAAAATAGTAATGACAGCAAATAATTTATGGAAGATAATAAAACTGATACTCCAAGGATTATGATCACTTTCGCTTTCAGCCCCCCTCCCCCCAATTTTGCCATCATCTGTTCCAGGGGTGCAGGGAGCGAAAGTTATTGTAACCCCTTGAGTATCAAGGATGCCTGACAAAGAACAGCTAGATATCCATTTGAAAAGCAGAGAGTTCCTAAAGAATGTCAGAAATGTATTGTGTATCATTTCACTGTATACCAAAATTCATAATTACCATTCTGATAGCATAGATGACTGTTAAGTATACATTGGATGGCAACCAAGTTCCCACACAATGTGGTGAAGGAAAGTGAAAAAAATCCAAACAACGATTTTTTTATCCAGTTTTACAAGCCATGCATGCATATATATAATCTGTTTTCACCTGTATACATTGCTAAGTACTCAATAACACAATGTTATGAAAGACATTCAGTTTCCAGTGTATCTGATACTGGACAGATTAAAGTTTTTTCAACCTCTATTCACATATACTGTATACAGATGATAAAAAAAGCTAATCATGGAATCCACTCCCAGATAAATACACTTTTCATGACTTTTAGCCACAATATAGAAGTCAACTTTAGACAAAAAAAACTTTGAAAATGTCTCAATACAACACATCAATAAAAATGTGTTCACAGAGTAATGTGCAATGGGTGTGGGTAGCACAGTGGTTAACACACAAGCCATTTATCTAATTAATTCCCCAACCAGATATGAAACGAGTTTTTCCATCGGCATTTCATTCTCCTCCTATAGTAAGATCCATACTATGTTTTCATTAAATCAAACAAGACTGACAGATGCAAGATATTAACTTGTTTCACTATTGGTATGAAATAAACTTTATTTTTATTTCAAATGTGTCCTTGTCTGCATAAAAAGGTCTAGTCTATTCAAAAAACTTAAAATATAAAATAAGTTTGAAATAAAACAGGGACAGCCCCCCCATCCCCTCCTCCCCCCACCCCAACACACACACACACAAATAACTAACCCCTGAGTTATTGATAAAGCTCATAAATAATACTATCAAAGGATCCTATCTGAGGCTGTGATGGTAATATAAAAAGTGCTTGGCAAATTAAAAAATATTCCTTGTTATATGCACATCTACAAATACCCATAAGACTTGAAAGATCTGGTATCCAGCTAGGTGTTTCCTATAAAACTGACCAAACCCAAAAAAAAACAGTAATACATGTTACATAAAAATGGGGCAAAATAGGAAGAGTATGATGCTCAACACCCTCCAAACAGGTCTGTGAAGACATGCACTTCACACGGTGAAATTACTTAAGAACTGAGTACCACACCTTCTAAAAAGTCACAGTATGTTATAAAGTGTTGTCCACATAAGGAAGCTAATTAAAACATATCTGTGTGTCATCTATTTTGAGAACAAATAATCAGAAATTACTAGTGGATAACTGGCTGTGATTTTAGCACAATCAGGTTATAATAACTAATAACGGTTCATAACTTATATATCTTTACTTTAATAATGCTGTGTACTGTTAAATTGATATGCATTGCTCAAAGTGAACTGAACAAACATCACTTACAGTACAGATAAACTAAACATACACCACCCACAGTACGGATAAACTAAACATACACCACACACAGTACAGATAACTAAACATACTTCTGACCATCACACATATACTTCATTTAAATTGTGATTTAAGTAACCATTCAAATGACTTTCATACAACCACAAGTACAGCCAATTACAAATAAAATCACAAATCACACATATGTACTGTATATTCAGCTTTGATTGAGAATATATGGCTAAGATTGATCGGTAAAAACACTGTTATCATGTACAGAATTTCTTTACCGAAGATGATTTTTTAAAATTCAAGACAAATCGTTATGATGGCAAACATACCAGTACTTAAATCAATATACCCTGAAGTTTCATTAATATTCATGTTGAAAAATTTGAAAATAAATTGAAAATATTACCCGATACCCACGATATACGAAGGCAGTTGATAATAAGGTATATGCTCGAAAAAGTTTTCTTTTAAAATGACCAGAATGTGTTATGATATTCAGTGATGAAGTCTCTTTTACGATGGTTTTTACTGGTGTGTAGTTTGCCATAAAAAGATTGTCATTAAAGCAATCCTGTACATTAATATAAATAGAGGCATGATCGTCAAATAAATCCCTTTGATATAATGCATCTTATTACAAGCCATATATGATATTTTGGTTTTTGTTTTTTTTCATCAATCAAAACAAAGTTACATAATTGAATCCCTAGGGGGTCTGCTGCATACAAAATTATCAGTCGATTTCCCAGAAGAATGTAATAAACTGAAACTTCAAACAAGAGGCATAACATCCATCAGCCGTCTCTTCTAGGAATGTCAAATTCTTTCAATTTGGCAATATCTCTCCCTTTTGCCTCCTGTCGAGCACGAAGAGGAGAGACCGCAACATCTATATCCTTTGTCTGAAATTATCAAACATAGATACTGATGAGTGTTCACACACACTGCCCTGTATATAGTGACCTATGCCTATCGTATTGTACTAAATATATTGTATATACAAACAAATGCAAATACTGATGTTTCAGTTTAAAAAAAAACAAGATTAATAAAATCAGACTTACCATTGATCTGGCACCAAGCTGATCGAAAGCCTCTATTTTATACTTTAGCAAATATCTGTAAACAAATGCAATATATGAATAAAAACCATTCATCTGAGATAATTAAAATTACAACAGATATATAGCTTCCATGTTACAGGTTCATTTCTCCACGAACAAAATTTGCAATTTGCTGTTAAAACAGGATGAAGAACAGAAAATACTTTCTCTTACACATATGCTACCTTGAACCTGAGATGATTAGAGAACATTAAGTTGTTACATCATGTGTAAGCTCTGCTTTTATTGAATTAAACTACATCCAACAGTTTGGGGTCTCCAGATTTCTATTTCTGATCCTTAACAGGTATGAATATGTCCCTAAATACAGTAGGTCGCTATCTAATATATCATATTAGAGGCCATTTCACACTTACAACATAACAGCACTAAATGAAAGTGCCATAACGGAAATAACTGTAATGAATTTAGTTCCCGACAACTGCTCCCACTTATTCTTCTGGGGATTTTCAGGTGGCGGATCTGAAGCCTGGTGCTTGTTGAAATGATGGAAGTGATGAAGCTGTTCTCTCATACTTGGGGTTTTAATGTGTTCTGATGCACTAGGTTGGTGTACATGAGTGCTATATATGTTGTGGTACTGAGCCCTGAAAAAAAAAATATACAAAACACTCATTTTCAAGAACTGCATGACATTTCTCCCATATAAACCTTCTCTATATCAGAGAAATTTGTGAAAAAATAAACGTCTGATCATTATAATAACATAATAACGAGAGGCCCTTTAGGCCTGCATTACTGACATATGGTATTCAATATTTTCCACAATACCTTCACTATGCATTATCAACATTCTAAATAGGTCTTATTCAGATTAAACCAACTTCTTTCACCAAAGTGACCTAAACACTAGAAATTTTATACTCTTAGTTAAATATTGTTCATCTACAAGGAATGGATCAATTTCTGAATAATTTGAATTAAACTTAATTTAAAAGCTGTCAAATTAACAGTAAAAATAATATTGAACGGAATAACAGTTTTCAGAGCAAAAAGCAACCTCTGCCCATATTTAAGGTCTCAGTAGTCAAATTTGATCAACCACTCAAACAATCATTTTCTGATAAACGAAATAGTTGTTAGTTTACGATGACCAGAAGGTAATGCCATCTCAGGGGACATTTCAGACTTGGGCCTCAAAATCTATATACCAAAATATCACTGTTTTTAGCAGCAACAGTTAGAAAAAAGTAATCAGGTAAGCCAATAAGTATTTTCTAAAATTAAAACTACCGGTACATTACATATTGAAAATATTGTAAACAATGTCAAACTTAGTCTCATCTATTTCTATCTTCATCTTTCTGTTTTTTCCACCCTTTTAAGATACAATGCATTTAATCTTTCAAATTCATAACCAAAATTTTGACATTCTGTTAAAATGTTTACCAAAAGATAGGTTTTTTTAACCTTTTCAAAAACAATTTTTTTTTACACAGTACTGTCCCATATCATTTCAACAAATGTCACCCAAAAAATAGCTGGCAACAATGACATGTATGTGACAAAAAACTACAGGAAAAAGAATATGATAGAATTTAATGTTATTTCTATTTTATACTATGGTCTAATATTTTCAGTATCAAAATTAATTCATTTTTATCATTTAACTGATTGAACATCGACAAGTATAACCTGAAAATGTTACAGAATATTTCAACTTTATTTTAGCATCAAAATGCTGACCTTATATGATCACCAATCTTGCCCTTATACTAACTTGTTACTGAAAGCTGTCTCTAGTCTTCCTTATCACAGAAACTTTATTTTATCACAGGTGTCTGTCATTGAGACTTCCAAATGGACTTACCTCCCACTTAAACTGTTAGAGGCATTGTCATATGCTGATCTCTGCAAAGGACTGCTTAATATTTTATAGGCATTTTGGACTTGCATAAATTCTAATTTTGTGTCAAAATCAATGTTGAAATCTGGATGAAACTGCAAAACAAAAAAAAATCTTTCAAAAATGTTTCTATCATATATTATTTTTTTAGCAGTTTACAAGTTCATTCTTGATTTGTCTCCCTTTACATAAAGTCAGTACATGTATAAGCATTTTTGCAGCAGCTGTTCTGACAGTGCATTCAAAAATAGCTCCAGAAAAGTTACTACTGCAGCACTTGAACCAAAGAAACCTTGAGAGATTGACTAATAATAGCTCTCCCACAGCAACTATGAAATTTTCTTTCAAATATTGTTCTCAGAGAGATGTACAGATGATGTCTTGCAAAATTTGTTCCAAAGAAACCTTGAGAGACAGACTGATGACACATCTCCAACAGCAACCATGAGAGCTATCATTCCAAGACTGACAAATGACAGATCTCAAAAATCCAAGAGTTCATCCAAGGACAGCTCTATGAGACAAACCAGAAGGTTTGTCATCAAACAGTTCCCATACAGGAAACCTTGGGAAGATAAGCAAATTCTGAAAGTTTGACCTAGCTAGGACAGAGAGGAACCATGACAAGTCATCTAAGGGAAAGCTGTTTGAAAGAAACAGCTCTCTAGTGAGGCTTTACATACATGTACCATCATATATTGGTGGAGATAAAATACACATACTAATCTACAACTTCAAAATCAATCAATACTAACTAACACCATCAGATACAGGCCCTGTCAGTGATGTACACCTGTTCAATGTACAACCAACACTAATTAAAGTGTAAACCATCTCTCAACTTGATTGTGTTAGTCAAAAGGTACCAGTTAATGACTGTCACCTCTTTAACAATACATATTGATCCAACTAAATAATGGGTTACCTTTTTTGATAAAGCAAAATAAGCTGTTTTTATTTCTTCACTTGTGGCATCTTCACCAACACCCAATACTTCATACAAGGAGGCCTGTTCAAGATGCACTTTCGGTATTTTTGCCAAACGCCTGTGAAAGACAAAAAGAATATGCCTTAAAATACATCACACACATGTACATGTATTATGTTTAAATGTAAAATAAGATAAAGTCTACATAACTAATGAAACTTTTAAGTTAGTCATTCAAATAATGTAAAACTGAAAAAAAACTTAGATTACATCACCTGTCAATGGAACTCAAAACTTAAAGAAATGGGAAAGTATGGGAAAATATATAGTTAACACTAGGTGAATTGCAGAAATTTCTATGGTTATTTTTACTTTTAAACAAGAGGTCCAAAGGGCCTGTATTGCTCAACTCTATTAGGTGTTGGAAAAGTATTTTTAAATTAAAGGAAAAGTATTTAAAACACCTATGTCTATTTCCCCTAGTAAGACCTCCTCCTCCTCCCCATAGGGGTTAGATATACTGTTTGTACAAAAAAGGTCATTGTTATTTCAATTTTCAAATCATCCTGCATATGATCGCAAATGACAGTTCTATACCACCTGTTTCAATCACAAGCACATGACCGACAGGTGCTCATAAAAAACAAGAGGCCCATGGGCCTTAACGGTCATCTGACAAAAAGCAAGCCAAACCTAGAAAGTGGGTTGAGGTCATTCATTTGAACAAACTTGGTAGCCTCTCCTCCAAGCATCTTACAGGCCCAATATCAGCACTCATGGACTTTTGCTTGTTGAGAAGAAGTCGTTTGTATATTTTAACATATTTGACCCCTGTGACCTTGAAAGTGAGTTGAGGTCATTCATTTGAATAAACTTGGTAGCCTTTCCTCCCAGCATGCTACAGACCCAATATCGGCACTCATAGACTTTTGCTTATTGAGATGAAGTCCTTTGTATATTTTAACATATTTGACCCCTGTGACCTTGAAAGTGGGCCAAGGTCATTCATTTGAACAAACTTTGTAGGGCTCCATGCCAGCATGCTATGGGCCAAGTATTAGCCCCCTAGGCCTTCTAGTATTTGAGAAGAAGTTATTTAAAGATTTTGACATATTTGACCCCTGCGACCTTGAAAGTTGTTCAAGGTCATTCATTTAAATAAACTTGGTAGCCTTTCCTCCCAGCATGCTACAGACCCAATATCGGCACTCATAGACTTTTGCTTATTGAGATGAAGTCCTTTGTATATTTTAACATATTTGACCCCTGTGACCTTGAAAGTGGGTCAAGGTCATTCATTCGAACAAACTTTGTAGGGCTCCATGCCAGCATGCTATGGGCCAAGTATTAGCCCCCTAGGCCTTCTAGTATTTGAGAAGAAGTTATTTAAAGATTTTGACATATTTGACCCCTGTGACCTTGAAAGTTGTTCAAGGTCATTCATTTAAACAAACTTGATAGCCCTTCATCCCAGCATGCCACAGGCACAATATCAGCAATCTGAGCCTTTTGGTTATTGAGAAGAAGTTGTTTAAAGATTTTAACATATTTGACCCCTGTGACCTTTAAAGTGGGTCAAGGTCATTCATTTGAACAAACTTGGTAGTCCTTCATCCCAGCATGCTACAGGCCTTATTTTAGTTGCCTGGGCCTTTTGATTACTGAGAAGAAGTCCTTTGAAGATTTAAAGACATTTGACCCCTGTGACCTTGAATGAAGGTCAAGGTCATTCATTTGAACAAACTTGGTAGGGTTTCATCAAAGCAAGCTACAGGCTAAATATTAGTTGCCTGGGCCCTCCAGTTATTGAGAAGAAGTCGTTTGAAGATTTTAAGACATTTGACCCCTGTGACCTTGAATGAAGGTCAAGGTCATTCTTTTTAACAAACTTGGTAGGGCTTCATCAAAGCAAGCTACAGGCCAAATATTAGTTGCCTGGGCCTTCCAATTATTGAGAAGAAGTCGTTTGAATGAAAAGTTTACGGACGGCGCACGGCGGACGACGACGGACGAAGCATGATGACTATAGGTCATCGGACCCTTCGGGTCCGATGACCTAAAAATCTTAGTATGCAAATACAGTACCTGCACCCAAAAACAAAAGATCAAAAAGTCCTGCCCTCCCTATAGTTCTCCCTACATTTCTATGAGCCATTACAACAGAGACAAAGAGTAATCTCCCTTCCTTCAAAATATTAATGGAGCCCAAAAAAGAGAAGATCATCATAAAATTGGTTTTTGATTTCAGTAATAATTACCATAACTTAAGTATGCAAATAGGTCTTACCATAATGGAAACTTCAAGGCCAGACAGCCCATCACAGCTTAGTACCACCCTGTGAAAACTTTAAGTAGGAAGGGAAAGGTTCAAGAAACCCCTCAACAGTGCCAGATAAAATTGGAAAAGTACCTCCCTATGAAGGAGTAGGCACTCCAACGTGGCGTCTAAACGCACAAGAATAAAAAATACCCCAGATTACTAAGGAGGCTCAGCCACGGACTGAGCCACCACCAGAGATCCACGAGAGTACTGACCCTCAGAATGAGAAGCCAAGGACCTCCGATAGAAACCTGTGAAAGTATTCCTGTCCCACCAGAAGGCAGCCGACATGACCTCCTGAAAGGATGACCCATTGACGAAAGCCCAAGATGCAGCCAGGGCCCTAATTTCACATGCCTGCACCTTCAAGCTCAAAAGCATACCTAATGTCCTGGCAAACCCATATTGAAACCGACTTGGAGTAGATATCCTGATGATCCTGTTTGAAGGCCAAAAACAGATAGGATCAAAGAATCCCCCCATCCCTAGTTTTATTGAGGTAAAACCTAAGTGCCTAACAGCGACATAGCAACCTATTATGCTCAGCCTCAGGGCCACCCTCCTCCTGGATATCGTCTTCCTCCGGAGAATCTTCATCTGACAACTTGTTAAGATCATCCAGGAGAGAGATGACATCATCCTGCTCTGCCACACCACCGCCCTCACAGTTCACATCCTCCATCTTGTTATAACCAGAAAAGGGCCAGCCAGAGGAACCAACTTAAGGAAAATATCTTGGACCCAAAGACCAATGGGGTCCACCTGAGAGGCGGAAACCCTGAAAGTCCCCTGGACTGTGCCAGACCAGGGCCAGACTGTCCCTCCTCTATTCCAAGGAGTTCCTGGACAGGAGAGATCACCCCTACTCACAAGATGAACTTGAAGCAACAAGACCTACACAGCCAGGCACACCTAAATCACTGAGTGGCTCAGAGCCAGAAACAGAACTAATAGGCTTCCCTCTCCTGCTGGAAATGACCAAAAATTGGCACAAAAAACAATTAAGCAAGCCAAATATATTTAAATAACAAGCAGATGGGCATAAATAATGCAAACTGAGCAAAAAAAGCAAGATAAGAAATGAGTGACTGAAAGGCAAGAAAATGCCAGAACTCATCTGAATTATGTCTGCCATCAGAGGTGCCATAAAGGAATGAGGAAGGAAGATCACTCGATGTCTCTGCCGTAATGGCTCATGGGACTGTAGCCCATATAGGCATTCATTTGAAGAGTATGGACTTGCACATAAGTGGCCCAAATACAAGTCTATGTGAATCATCATTATCATTTCTAAATTTTTTTACCGTAATTTCTGTAGTCGAAACATCTTCACAGTTAGAAATGGTATTCCTTTCTTAGAAACCACATACATCTCCTGTTTTCATGACATTGTACACTTCTCAGAAATTCCAGCTCTCACTTCAAACTGATCTAAAAAAAGAAGTATGAAATTAAATTAAAAAAATATAGCAAAATAGTCACTGTAACTGTAAATTATGATGTACTATGAGAACTTTTTACATTTAACTTTGTAAACTGGATATTCCATGAAAAAGCAGGTCTCATTCGGGTCATTATTAAATAAAACCCAAACTAATGTGAAAAAGGATGAAGACACTAATTTGTGTATTTTAAAAGCTGTATTAAGCAAAAGGGATTTACAAGTATCAGAATATATACAGTATAAGAAAGAAACTCTACAACGCAGTGAGTACATAGTGAAAGATCTAAGAATAGAATGTCAAACAGATGCCTGCATGATTGAACAGTCAGTCTCTGTCTGGCAAAAACAAAGGTACACTACTCAGTAAAAAACTTTCATACCAATGGCCAATTGACTAACACTACACATAATACAATGTATTGCACTGTGCAAATACACTTTTCCAACATTAAATAGGACTGCTTGGCCACCACCACCACACTCTGAATAGAACAGGTACTCAAATTGACTTAACGATAAATTGGCTAAAAATTGATCGTCCTACATAACTGTTCCTGACAGAACAGTTATATGCATACATATATGCATATGAAAAGAAAAGATATATTGACCAGTATGTATCTAACTTGATAAATGATCATTTCACATTTGAGCAAGTCACCTTCAACCAGATGGATATAGAAACTTTCTGAAAACACCTCTTTAACGATAGTGTCGATAATGACATGACTGAAACCTCTTCGTCAAATCAATTTTAAGATGACTGGTGACAAAAGTAACGTATGCAAATGAAATATACTACCGAAACACGAAGAGAGAATTTCGCTGCAATTTGGTTCTTGTGTTACATAATTCCGGAAACTATACTATGACGTCTAAAACCTAGATCCGGATTTAATATGAAGCCCGGATAATATGGAGAGTTGGTTGTGTTTCCATCAGCAAATAAAAATTATATACGAGGAGCGAAGTCCTACGACATAACATAATGTTACCTGGGGCTCTATCGACCAACGAAATTAATTAAATGTATCTGGACGAAACATCAGAATTGTTTCTTTTTAATTTGCCGATAAAGCAACTGTGAAGTCCACCAGTCATATTCAGTTATTGTCATAAGATCAGGGATAGATATACAACTATGTCATTGCTATGATGGGAACTACACATGTATTGTTGTATCTCATTTTTGCTGCACACAAAGGAAAATAATAACTATTTCCGGACTTGGTTGCTAAACTGTTTTAGTATTTAGTCAAAGCTACAAAATTTGTGACGTAGAGCACACGAAATGAAAAAGAAAGTAGGAGAGGATCACCGGTACGTTAATATGATTCTTCTACGTTCATTTGCACCGTTAGTTCTCGACAAAAATGATGTCCAGTAAATTTCGCGACTTTTCATTACAGCAATTGATGTGACACAAATTTTTGCCACATGGATAATTTTATGTTTCCGGAGATTCCAAAATATGAAGCAGTGGTAAGTCGAAAAACAAAAAACAAAAAAATGTTCTGACCATACATGTATCTACAAAACTGAAGCATGGCCCGTCCACGGGCACCTATATCTGGAATGTAAATAACATAAACAAAATCCAATCCATTATAGCATCAATACTGATACTGAACTATGGCCTGGCATTCAGGCATTTTTTATTTATTGAAAAGATAAAACTTTTTTCTACTAACAAGCTAATATGTGTCAAAGAAATTAGGCGTTGTAACCTAAGTAATTCAACACATTTATCACAGCATATTAACATTGGCTTCTGCTAGATGAAAGCTCTCTGTATTTGCCTTTGTTAAACTACCGTTTCTACCAAACTCGTGATAGTTTACTGTTTGGTAGGTGTACAGGGACAATTCAGAGAGATTTGGTACAGTATATAGTGGTAGCGACTGTAAATATGCCGAAAAGTAAAGATATTGTGAAAAGTGAGTAACATATGCCAGTTAGCAGTCAGATGCTTTATCAATCCGTCATTGTATGATTTATAACTACATACCCCGTTGTAAACTGTATAAAACATTGCCTGAATTCCAACTTTTGCAAGGGTCACTAGAATACGATGTTTCTCTGTCTATAGGGGGGATTCTGACTATCAATGGCAGATAGATAGTCAAAACCTTTCAGACAAAATGATGGAGTTGTAAATGAACTTGTTTGCTTACATCTCTAAATTTTGATGTGGTTTGAATGTAAAGAGAAGTATAAGACAACTAGATATAGTGTAACATAATATACTTGTTTGCAAAAAGTAAGTAAAATCATCCGTTTAGTAAATTGCTTGTAGAACTATAAAGTCACCATTTGCATTGTCATTCACACTCTAGCTGTGCTACTTAATGTTTCCAGCTGTTAAATTTAACTTGCTGCTGCTCTGATGTTGAATTTGTTTTTTTTTTTTAATGTGGTTATCAAATGTGAATTTAAGAATAATGTGCACCAACAGCAGGGCTCGCGCTGGCGATCGCCAATGGCGCCATTGGCGAAAGTGAAATGAGATTGGCGATTTCAAATATCTATTGGCGAAAATGCCGATTACAGACATTTCCAGTCACCGATGTCACTGGCGTTTAACTTATTTGTAACGAGTGACACAGGTAAATTTTGCTCCGACATCATTGTGTACTACACCTTCACGGTTGACTGACTCACGCCGCTGGGGCAAGGTCAGCTATCGGAACTCTTTTGTGTTTTGACAGAAACGTTTACCTGTCTAAACAGCAACACGCCTGAAAAGAAAATCGCCAATTATCCAATGATGTCTCCATTGTCTCAATCCGAGATAGCCTCTGCCGTGAACAATAAGGTAAGTTAGCTGAAGGAAAGATGTTGTTTTATCGGGAATTGGCTTACGGTAGGTGGATCATTAGGTGTGTCAATGTTGTTAATTGGGCACGAGTTTGTGATTTCTGCAGACATAACTTAGTAAACTAGTGTATTTGAAAGGGCCCGAAATGGGCTTTTTGATCGACAATCAAAATAGCAAGAAACACAAGATATAATTTCGTTGTTTTAACACTATGTTGCCGATTTTGTTTTATATTTTTGTACATATTTTGGTCACATCAGATTTGGCCCTTCACTGAGATAGATCGTTAGATGAAATGGGAAAACGTAAACTCCCCTTTAGTGATAGGGATGGGAAAGTACCCAGATTGTCATCATTTGGTTTTAAGACACCATCTATTGAAAAGGAAAATGATAGTCCTGATCAGGTTACTAACAGGGGCAGTAGTTCAAGAAAGTTTCTAGATAGTTGGAAAATTGGCAGGCCATGGCTAAAATATGACCCAGAGCAAAAGCTCATGTTTTGTGACATATGTATTAAGGCATTAGTTAGAAATAGTTTCACTGATGGCTGCAGTATCATGAAGAAGAAGTGCTTGGTTAAGCATGAGAAAGGATCAGTATATACAACTATTCATCATTTATGAACAGAAAATTATGTAAATTTAGATTAAGTAATTCAGAAATACTATACAGCCTGGAGGATGGTACAATGTAGTTACTCATTACAGCCTGCTTGGCACATGAATTAGAAACACAATCTTTTAGTTTAACGATTATGTCTTTATTATCTCTGAAGTGTTTTTAAGAGATATATTACTTAGGAAGTTACTGTAATAAGTATAATACTTTGATGGTGTAAAATAAGGTTCAATGTAATCCTGTATCTCTCTGCAAATGTCCAATTCTATTCTAAATTTTATTTTCAATTTTACAGATGAGAACTCTCACTCTGCTGCTTTGGCAACACAACAGCAAACTGTCGAGATGCAGAAGGCCTGTAATAATTCCATGTTTATAAACTCTTTTACCATATACTGTGTTATGTTTGATGTATTGTTGTTAAAACAGTGAATAAATAATGTAATTATATAATTAGCATATGTGTTTTTATTATATGAGGAAATTAAGGGCTCAAGGGTGAGTTCCGGAATCTGTTCGCACGCTTATAGAAAAAAAAATTTGGTTTGGCGAAACTGAATTTTGACCCAGAGCTAGCCCAGAACAGTATGAAGTTACTCCATTGTTATACACTTTGATAGCAGGTACAGAAAGTGAAGATTTAATGCAGTCCTTAATTGTCTTTTTCAGGACTGGAGATATGTAATGAGAAGGCAGATGCAGGTATGAAAGCTGTACAGAGAATGATTCTGGTCAGAAATTCTTAGATATTGATAGCTGAATAACACAAAATAAGGACTTTGATACACTCTCTAGATTTTTTATTTGTAAAAGGTCAATAAACATGTATCATATTATTAATTTCTGAGAAGAAGGTTGAATTTCCCATATTGAGTATTTGTACATTTGAAGGCCTACTTCATGTATATTAATGTTTAAAAAAAAGAGAGAGAAAGGGTGGGGGCTATTGTACCTCATTTTCCTTTACCACAACTTGCATAATGAAATGAGCCCTTTTTATTCCAAAAATACAGGAGATTGTACCAAACCTGTATCTTGGACCATATGCTGCAGCTATGAAATCACAGGTAATGTTAAGATGTTTTTTTAATTTTGGTGCCTGATCAACTATTAAGCTTAATAGGTTCAAAGTCAAGGTCACATTTTTTATCTTTGAACTGGTAAATATTTTCTAGTAACATTATGAAGTAAATATGGTCAGTGAGAAATTCATCTACAGTCAGAGTAAAGGTCATAAGGCTGACTGACTTATAGATATGCCCAAATAAAATTAATCAAAGTGGATTGGAATAAAATAAACCGTCACTTTGCAGCAGGATAAAAATGATGATAAGAATAACCAGGACTTTTTCATTACTATTTTGATGATAAAGTCATGTGTTACTGAAGAAAAAAAGAGGTTACCTATTTTAATGTAAATATGTTTTCTGGAATTTTCAGTTGCCATCCCTACAACAACATGGCATCACACATATAGTGTGCATCAGGCAAAGCATTGAAGCTAACTTTGTAAAACCAAACTTCCCAGAATATTTTAAGTAAGTCGATTTACTACAGGTGTAGAAGACATTACATCACACTGGTTTATTGACAGTATTGAAATTATTATATCGTTATTCTACCATACTATTTGCTTTGAACATTTTTCTTCTTTGAAACAAGTATTATATTCATAAATAATTATGGATAATGCCACATTGTGGTCTGATTTAGATGTGTAGTTATTACAGCTAAACCAATGGTGTCAGATATCATCATCATTGTAATAACATTCATTATTGCAATAATTATTTTATATTATCATGAAGTTATTTCACTTTCACTGAGTGAAATGAAATTATTGAAATTTATAATTTTTTTTACAGGTACCTTGTATTAGACATAGCAGACTGTATGACAGAGAATATCATCAGATTCTTCCCACAGGTACGTAGCATTAGATAAACATTGCCTATGATATGTGGGTAGGTAGTTTATGATGAAATTTACCCACTGTATGACACACAGGTAAGTAGCATTAGATGAATATTGCCTATGACACTTGGTAGGTAGTTTATGATGAAATTTACCTACTGTTTAACACACAGGTAAGTAGCATTAGATGAACATTGTCTATGATATGTGGGTAGGTAGTTTATAATGAAATTTACCTTTTGTATTACACACAGGTAAATTATAAAAAAAACTTGACCTATGTTATGACACCAAATTATAGATGAACTAGGCCTACTTTATGAAACATAGGTAGGTAAATGAACAGTGCCTAGTCTCTGACACAGGTAGGTAGATTTTCTGGAATCTTGCATTTTGTGTGACACACAGGTAGGTAGGTTTGTTTGTACCTTTTCTCCTGTATGACACACAGGTAAGCAGTCCATTTATTTGACTGTTTTTGTTTAGGTTTAATCTTCTCATATGTTAATCTAATGTCTAAAATTATACAACTTGACAAGAACTTTTTGATTATAGACATATGTTTATTTGAATGTATGTACATGTATATAAATGTTCACAATTTTTAAGTTGGCTGTATATTACAGAACAGTTTTGATGGTAGATGAGACAGAAACTGGTTTAATGTTACTAGGCTGACCCTAATGATTTGAAGTACATAACCAGTTAACTTGTAAATATGTATAACCTGTTAGTGTTATTAAATACCAGACAATGAAAAGGTTGTTTATATTATAATGTTTGTCTGTGTCACATTTTGATGCATGATAATTACCACCTGACTGGTTATTCAGATACAGGACAATGTTAATGGTTGGCATCAATTTTAAATGACATTTTCAGATAGAGACTACATTTTGAAGATTTGACATTTTAAGATGGAGACTACGTTTTGAAGATTTATATTTTAATGTTTCATGTTAATTGTTTTAGGTCAGAGAATTTTTGAATGACTGTTTCCAGAGCGGTGGTAAAGCTCTTGTGCATGGAAATGGTGGAATCTCAAGGAGGTACTTTTGTCAACATTCGTCAATATTTTCAATTTTTTTAAATTTTATTAATGGAAAATTATGCTTTGAATTATAAACATACCTACTGTAGCTAATGTTTTAGCCAGTAAGAATCTTGTGAAGGTAATATACATAACTAATTGCTAATGCTACACAGAAAGCATGGTAGCTTACAGTTAATCATGCAACCAGTCAGGTTTCAGTTAACATCTCAATGACATTATCATTCAGCCAATCGTAATCAATATAACAGATATTCCTGAATATCAAAATATGATTGTAATGCCCAAGTTTCTGTTAAATATATCTCTGTGTATTGGGACTTGACATTGTCCAGACCATATCTTTTCTACTTTAACAAACCCTACCAGGCTGTTTTAATATCACTTTTCTTATTTTGATTTCAGTGCTGCATTGGTTATAGCCTTTATAATGGAGACATATGGATTATCATTCCGGTAAATGTGATCTTTAATCATATCTTAGCTATGCCATCCCAATCAAATGCAAATCACAGTTGTCGTCGGGCTGAAATATTCCTGGATCATAATTTGTTCCAGTAATTATTGACATATAATTTATCTGTGATAGAGAATTGATGAAAAATAATTGAAATTAGTGCTTTTAGAATGAATTATCATATGTTTCATCCACAAATATTGGGGGTAGCATAAAATCGCCACCTTGTCCATTTGTCTGTCGTCTTTCCATCCATCCGAAGCATAACTTGGCCACAGTTAAACAAGGATCCTGAAACTTGGTGAATATATTGGTCATACTAAGACGATGTGCAATGTACCAAATTCAGGGCCCTCAACTCAGAAATTACAGAGTAAATGCCCTTTGTTAAAAATGTTTTGTCCTGGGCATAACTTTGCTTGCATTCAAACTAGGATAATTAACCTTTGTGGATACATTGATCATACTAAAAGAATATGCAGTGTTCCAAATTCAGGGTCCTTAACTCCTCATTTACAGATTTGTTGTTATCCCCTGCGAAACGCGTTTGCGGGGGTTATTAAATTAGGCTCCGTCCGTCCGTCCGTCCAAGTGCTTTTCCGGGCTATAACTTCGAGACCGTTCAACTCAACTTCACAAAACTTCCTATATATATATAGTTGGTGCCCTGTTTGTGCCTTTTGCTATTGCCGTCATTTCACTTTATATATTTTTTTTTCTGTTTCCATGGAAACAAAGTCAGATAACACAAAAAGAGGATTTTCCAGGCTATATCTTCCAAACTGTTCCTCTCAACTTCACAAAACTTTCTGCACATGTTAACTCAGTGCCATAATTGAACCTTTTGCTATTAACATTTCATTTTTTTATTATATTTTTTCAGTTTTTGCAAAAATATAGTTAAAAACCTCAAAAGAAGGCTTTTTCTGAGCTACAACTTCAAGGCATTGGCCCCTCAGAGTGTGATCATTATCATTATTATTACATGTTTTACATCTCTTACATAGTAAATCTTTTGTTGTCTGAAGATAGCTATTATGCCTGAAAACGTTACTGAAATACATTTGTTGTGTTGATGCTATATTTTCAATTATATCTCTATATATATATATCTATAATATAGTTGAGGAGATGTGAGTTTATTTTCTACTAGTGCTTTCACTGTAATAGACCTTCACGTGCAAAGTACTGATACATAAGTGTGTGAAGTCTCAAATTATTAGTGCTATATATAGCATATTTGGGTTCCATACCAACACCTGTGCGCGGGGATAATGCCATGCTTTGTGGCATCTTGTTTTTTATCAAAAATATCTTGTCAAGAGCATAACTTTGATTGCATTTAAGCTAGGATAATGAAACTTGGTGTACACATCAATCATACAAAGACAATGTGTAGTGCACCAATGTTAGAGATGACAACTCCTTAATTACAGGGTTATTGTCCTTTGTTAAAAAAAATTGTGCGGAGCACAGCTTTGCTTTCATTAAAACTAGGATCATGAAAACTATGGTTTATATTGATCATACTATGAAAGTATGCAGTATACATAAATTCAGGGCCTGCAACCCCAAAATTACAAAATTATTGTTCTTTGTCAAATTTTTGTCTTCACTTTCACTGATACTCTTGTTTCCTATTTAAAATTTCAGCAGTGCATTTATATATGTACAACAAAGACGATTCTGTATCAACCCAAATGAAAGCTTTGTCCAACAATTGATTGTAAGTAAAGATACATTAAGTGTAGATTGATCTGTAGTGTTATGTATATAACGATGTAATCTTGTTGATTCAAACTTTGTTTCTCTAAATCAACATCATCTAATGGTATTTGATAACTACACATTAAATACAAATATTCATTTTAAAGGTAAATAGTTGATTTAACTCTTTTTGATTTTACAGGGATATGAACCCATTTATAGAGCAAAACTGAACTTCCTGTATGGTGACAGATCAAGGGATAATTGTAAGTCTTCATTGAAATTAGATATTGTTAGTGATGGTGATTTGAAATGGGATTGTTGATATATGTTCAGGGCTCGTCCAGTAAGGCCCAATGGGCCTGCTTTTCTCACTGCGAGGGAAATTCTTTAAAATTCTACTTCTCCTGCAGGAATGATTGGATTTTGCCTAAATTTGGTCAGAAGCATCTTTGGGTGGAGGGGAAATGCATTTTGTAAAAGCGATGGATCTCGGGGCCCAATAGTGGAAATGAAGCAAATTCTTTAAAATGCTATTCCACCTGTAGGAATGATTGGATTTTGGCCAAATTTGGTTTAAAGCAATTCGGTAAAGGGAAATCAATTTTGACTAAACACTGGGACTCCCACCCACCCCCCCACCCCCCCCACCCCAACCCCAACCCCCACCATGGGCAATTTGGAGCAATTTCTTTATAATCCTACCCTTCCTATAGGAATGATTGGATCTTGTCCAAATTTAGTGGTAGTCATGTTTTGGTGTAAAGGAATCAATTTCATAAAAATGGTGGATCTCAAGCTCAGCCCCCTGCGGCATAAGGGACTCAGTTTCATGCAAATATCTTCTAACAACTGAGATCCCCACCCTTAAACCATATATGGCAATGCTGGTAATCATGAGATAAACACATGTACAATGTAAGAAGTTACCCTTGGGTGTGGCCTCACTCCTCTCAACTTAATTTCTGGTGACATCTTTGAAACATTTGAAATCCCCATAACCATTTATATAAATGTATACAGAATTGCTGAGCATCAAGAGATAAATACATTTGTTATTTAAGAATTGATCCTTGGGTGTGGCATACCTCAAGGGACATTATTTCTGGGTCACACTTTTTGATATAGTTGAGATATCAACCGATAAGTGACTTAGCTTTAATTTTGAAATATTTGAAATACCCAACTATACGCATGTATTATATTGCTGGAATGTAAGATCCAGGTGAGCGATACAGGCCTCTTATTTCCTACCAAATTTTTTCTTTGCAAATTGAAAATTTAATTACATTGGTTGAACCATATGTTAATGATTTTCAGCACCAAGAGATATTGAGTTGATTTCAGTAATTGATACTGTTTTTAAAAGTCTTTAGATTCGTTCTATTAAATATTTACTGGTATGTTTAATGTGTTTTGCACTTTAGCTTTTTATTGTTTTTATTATAAAGAATGCATTTGTTTTGGACAGAAATATTATTTAACATCATGTATTGGAGAAAAACTGTAAATACTTTGCTTTCTAGGAACATGATTTTGTATGACATCCTTTTTATCTTTCCTGTAGCTTACCTTAAGAGGAAACATCCCGATGATGATTCCTCAGATGATGATGTAAAGGAAATGAGAGTTGATGATGGATGAAATTACATAAAACAAGGAAGAATAAGATGGAAGCTGCCTGCTCAAGTGGGTGAACGTCAGATCAGATATAGCCAGTATTACTTTAGTGAACCATAGGTTGCGGTTATATATTATACATTATACCTGATGCAGACTTCATCACAGCTGGCATTCTGTGATGGAAGAACACCTTATTCTGTGTATAGCTGCATTAAGTCATGACAAATCAATTTTTAACTCACTGTCCATATTATGTGAGTTCTTACCTGGCTACTGTTCATCAAGATAGGTATATAACTTTATCTGACAGTGGCTCTATTCAATTTGAATCAACTGTGCAATATCTTGTATTTTTCCATCATTTTGAGGATGATATCCAATTATTCATTCTGTACTTATAAAATTGATGAGTTTTTTTTCTGAAAATACAGGGTTTAATATAGTTATGTTTTGTCTGAAATTAAATAAATGTTCAGGCTCTCCTGGTCTGTCTCACTTAGGCCACAAATGCTGAAAGTTAGAGTTAAACATCGGTTAATGAAATACTTAAATTGTTGTTGCTGAAAAAACTAAATGGTAGGCAAATTGGACACTCAGTATATATCAACCTGACCTGTCTCAGCAAATCTACAGCTATGAAATGATAAGAATTTGTTTCATTCAGGTTTAAAAATTTTCACTTATCACCATTTATCTCTAACCAGCCTGTAACAGCCAAGGTCAGATCTCTAAGTTTCCTGTACTGTATTTCTGTGTGTGAACTTGTGTAATATGATTCGCATGTGAAGTCCTAATGATAATAAGATGTCAAACTCTTGTAGACTGGATGACTTAAATAATAAATTTTAGTGATGATCAAATTTAGGCACTTTTCATGCATTATTACATTAGTGCTAAAATATTGTTGACGTAATTGCAGTTTTCTTATGCTTATACTATAGTTATTATCATTGCACATTTGCCAAAAAGTGATAAAATGCTTAAAATAGATTCCCCCATATTCATGACATGTACAGTACCTATACCAGAAAAAAATTTGATGCACCAATAAAAAGAATGTTTCCAAAGCAAGTATTCTTTCGAGCTGCCCCACAATCTTTATTAAGGATGTACTCTTCCAAGAAGTTAAAGAATCATATTAGATTTTTTTTCCTGATGATGATTTTAGAAAAGAGATTGAAAGCAAAAAATTAATATGTTGCTGCAAAACTTTTTCAGGAATAGGTGTTAGTAAATGTGAATTCATTTTCATATATTATTACTATTTTTTCTGCACAGCAACCAACATATGAAAATATTCCAAATTGATTTAATTCTTTGTTTGATCCACTTTTAGTATTATACTGTTAAAAAAACAAATTTATGATAAATTAATTTTGAAGGATACTTTTCATGATTAAAATGAGGATATCTCTGAGCTTTAATTTTTGCAATTTTTTAGAATTTTCAAAAATAAACTGAAATACTTGTTTTCCTTTCCTTAAAATTGGGGAAAGTGGTCCATGAAGTCAGAATTCACAAATTTAAAATCTGTGATTTTTGGTGATAATTCATGCAAAATATTTTGTTGAAATCTAATATTCAAGAGAATTCCTGTGCAACCAGCAAACATTAAAATGGTTGACGCTTTTTACCAAATCACGCCGTCAGGAAATCCACAAGTGAAATTTCTGCAAAGCATCATATAAATCATCCTTTTAAGTTTATAAGTACAACTATAGATAACAAAGAGGACACAAGAGTCAGATATATTATGTTGGAATTCAGTTATTATTGAATTATGTCTTACTTCTGCATAAAGGAGTACATCCTTCAGAAAACATTTTTGTCTTACTTGATGAATAACTTATGAAAGGGATCGCATGGAAGACTGTTCATCTATATATACGTAAAATCTTGAGGTTTAATGCGGAAAAACATTTTTAAAATTTTCGTTTTTGTATTTTGTATTTTTCTGATAATAAGCAGTTTGAGTAGATGTGCCAACATCTACAATATGAATGTCTTGTAATAAACCCACCTCCCTATTTGCAACAAGAGAATGTTTGCCAAATAGACTGACTGCTGTATAAATATGGTAATATACTGTGAAATCATACTTTTTTGTGGGAGATTTATTTTCATTGATTTCATGGGTACTCCTAATCCAGAAATTCCTATACTCACAAACTATATATAATTAGTTAAAGGACATTTATTAACCTTTATTTAATCCACAGAATCTAATGTTCATGAAATTATGATTGTTCAGAAACCACAAAAATTTAACCTCATGAAAATGTGTGATTTTACAGTAACTTAAGGAATCAGCGAACATTCAAATATATGCACTCGAGTTAATTAGAAATGATATCTGATGTTTGTGCTAGTGCTGTTTGGTTATAACATTGAGGTATCATCTATTGAGGTATTGTGAGTATAGATAAAATTGGAGTCTGTGTGCACAGCAGTGGTAAATTATGTTTATATGTGGTGACTGAAATAGTGCATCAATTGAACCACATTTTATTCTAGTGTTCAGTGTATGCCAGGATAAATGCATTGTCATGTGTAGTGTGTCAGAAAGTGCCTTATGTTGTCTTTCAACTTGTTACCAAAGCATTGAAATTGATACACATTAAATCTGAAAATTAATATACAATGTATTGCCTGGCACCAAATTTTAAAAGTTAAGTCTTCTTTATGATCAGTGACTACCTATAACAGATACACAGTAAATCAGTGACTACCTATAACAGTAAATCAGTGACTACCTATAACAGTAAATCAGTGACTACCTATAACAGATACACAGTAAATCAGTGACTACCTATAACAGTAAATCAGTGACTACCTTAAACAGATACACAGTAAATCAGTGACTACCTATAACAGATACACAGTAAATCAGTGACTACCTATAACAGATACACAGTAAATCAGTGACTACCTATAACAGATACACAGTAAATCAGTGACTACCTATAACAGATACACAGTAAATCAGTGACTACCTATAACAGATACACAGTAAATCAGTGACTACCTATAACAGATACACAGTAAATCAGTGACTACCTATAACAGATACACAGTAAATCAGTGACTACCTATAACAGTAACATAAATCAGTGACTACCTATAACAGTATACACATAACAGTAAATCAGTGACTACCTATAACAGTAAATCAGTGACTACCTATAACAGTAAATCAGTGACTACCTATAACAGATACACAGTAAATCAGTGACTACCTATAACAGATACACAGTAAATCAGTGACTACCTATAACAGATACACAGTAAATCAGTGACTACCTATAACAGATACACAGTAAATCAGTGACTACCTATAACAGTAAATCAGTGACTACCTATAACAGATACACAGTAAATCAGTGACTACCTATAACAGTAAATCAGTGACTACCTATAACAGTAAATCAGTGACTACCTATAACAGATACACAGTAATTCAGTGACTACCTATAACAGTAAATCAGTGACTACCTATAACAGTAAATCAGTGACTACCTATAACAGTAAATCAGTGACTACCTATAACAGTAAATCAGTGACTACCTATAACAGATACACAGTAAATCAGTGACTACCTATAACAGATACACAGTAAATCAGTGACTACCTATAACAGATACACAGTAAATCAGTGACTACCTATAACAGATACACAGTAAATCAGTGACTACCTATAACAGTAAATCAGTGACTACCTATAACAGATACACATTAATCAGTGACTACTATAACAGTAAATCAGTGACTGCCTATAACAGTAAATCAGTGACTACCTATAACAGATACCCAGTAAATCAGTGACTACCTATAACAGATACACAGTAAATCAGTGACTACCTATAACAGATACACAGTAAATCAGTGACTACCTATAACAGATACACAGTAAATCAGTGACTACCTATAACAGATACACAGTAAATCAGTGACTACCTATAACAGATACACAGTAAATCAGTGACTACCTATAACAGATACACAGTAAATCAGTGACTACCTATAACAGTAAATCAGTGACTACCTATAACAGTAAATCAGTGACTGCCTATAACAGTAAATCAGTGACTACCTATAACAGTAAATCAGTGACTACCTATAACAGTAAATCAGTGACTACCTATAACAGATACACAGTAAATCAGTGACTACCTATAACAGATACACAGTAAATCAGTGACTACCTATAACAGTAAATCAGTGACTACCTAAAACAGATACACAGTAAATCAGTGACTACCTATAACAGATACACAGTAAATCAGTGACTACCTATAACACCTGGAAAGAAAATTACTATTAATAGGAAATACATAACGAATTGAATGTTTAACTTTTCCTGAAATTGAATTACCTTTTTCCTCTTTAATTTGCAATAAATAGGTTTGCATTTACAAAGAGGAAGATAAATCTGTTTTTACAAATCAAAATATATTACTAAGGGATTTTTAAACCTTCGATCAACCAGCGATATTTTTGCATGAGTTTTTAAAATTAACCTAAATGTTAGTCTTCATATCTAGAATATGACATATAATGTTAAATTACAAGGGAGATAACAAATCAATAGCTATGTGAAACAAATTACGGAATAGTATGTTATATATAAAATATAACATGTTGTAGTTAATGTGTATTGGATGTTAAAATGTCATATGTTGGAATATGTTCTTTATTACAATAAAGTTGTTGTTCATCTACAAAACATTTCATTTTCTGTTTCTTAGAATTCTAGTTTAAACTAGATCATGTTTACAACACCATTTACATAATAACAAATCACAGCACACTATCTTACATATTTAGTGTTACTTTATTTCAGAAATTCTGTAATATTGAACACAAAGATATACATGTATATAGAGAGAAAAAAAAAATTTCCCCTCCTCAAAATCAACCCGCCACCCCCCACTTAAATTATTTTAGGTTATGTATGGAACTTGTAATAAATGTATAATAAAGTTGATCAAAGATCTAACACTATAGAAATATAAACAAATATGTAAAGCAGTCCAAAACAGTTTCAATGGAGATCAATCATCTGCAATACAAACAATTTTAAAAAAAAAATTCAATTTCAACATGTATTGCACTTGTATAGAAGTTTGGATACAATGGTGTTAAGTACATTAGCACCAAACAAAAGTGTAACAGCACTTCATGACAACCAGCTTTGTTCTTTCTATGAAAACATAGCTAGGCAGATTCCAGAAACAGTTTTCCTGTGTAAGACTAATACTGTAAGATCACCAGAAATGTCTGATGGTATCCTTATTTGTGCTGGGAGCCTTTAAAGTAGAAGTCAATTCCCCTGTTCTGTTTCTGTGTGGTCGGTCCATCCCTGGCTCCTCCCTGTGGAAAAACAAAATAGTCAGTGTGGTATTTGTAAGATAAAAGAAATTCTCAAGTTCAGATGAATTTCAGAATCCTACCCAACTGGTAAAAACTGAGATGTGAAACTGAATCGGAAAAAGGATAGAAAAGTCTAATTGTCACACTAATGAATGAACACATAAAGCATTAATTAATTAACACTGAAACATAGCTAGAATCAACAGATCACCTTCACTGAAACATAGCTAGAATCAACATATCACCTTCACTGAAACATAGCTAGAATCAACACATCACCTTCACTGAAACATAGCTAGAATCAACATATCACCTTCACTGAAACATGGCTAGAATCAACATATCACCTTCACTGAAACATGGCTAGAATCAACACATCACCTTCACTGAAACACAGCTAGAATCAACACATCACCTTCACTGAAACATGGCTAGAATCAACATATCACCTTCACTGAAACATAGCTAGAATCAACATATCACCTTCACTGAAACACAGCTAGAATCAACATATCACCTTCAATGAAACATAGCTAGAATCAACATATCACCTTCACTGAAACATAGCTAGAATCAACCTATCACCTTCACTGAAACATGGCTAGAATCAACACATCACCTTCAATGAAACAGAGAGAATCAACACATCACCTTCACTGAAACACAGCTAGAATCAACATATCACCTTCACTGAAACAGGGCTAGAATCAACATATCACCTTCACTGAATCATAGCTAGAATCAACCTATCACCTTCACTGAAACACAGCTAGAATCAACATATCACCTTTACTGAAACAGGGCTAGAATCAACATATCACCTTCACTGAAACACGGCTAGAATCAACATATCACCTTCACTGAAACATAGCTAGAATCAACATATCACCTTCACTGAAACATGGCTAGAATCAACATATCACCTTCAATGAAACATAGCTAG